CATTTATGTCAAAGATTATTGAGATTTTTTTCTTGTTTCCATTAGTGAAAAGGTGATTGAAAGGAAAGGTTTGTCAAGATTATTGCAGACATTCAACGAGCTGTGACAAATGAGCTTGCAAGCTTGCAAGATTTCTGTGCTTGCTTCCAAGACCTCCAGAAATGTTGGCAGTTCTGTATAGCAGAGTTGCCAACTTTCCCGATTTAGGCGGGAGACTCCCGATTTTCGACTGCTCTTCCGCTAACCCGATTTACAATACATTTCTCCCAACTTTTTCTTATTATTAAAATTTTTCACGATTTTTATAGAACTTGGCTTAATACTTTGTTATAGGAACAAAAAAAAAAAAAAAAAAAAAAAAAAAAGTGGTTTTAGACGTCTGAAAGCAATTGAATTTTCTCTAGATTATATCTAAAAGAAAACCTTGTGAATCAGATGAGAATTTCTGCTTTGTGAGTGAGAGCATACATATCCAGAAACACCGTTCTCCAATGGGCATCGAGCTGCACTGCATGTCATCTGACATATATTAGTCAATGAGCACAAAGCAACCTCAAGGCTGTTATTTGGATGTTCTTTAGTTATTTCATTCATCTTGTTCTGAGTTGTGTGAGTACACATGCCTTCGGGAAATAGTTTTAGAAATTACCATCTTTTGTTATGTCTGCGAGAAAGGTGAAATACTTCCGTATGTTTCAAAAATAGCACACAGTTGACTTTCCTTCCATTATTTCCTCAAGGAAATGTAATAAATTTGCGATGTGTACCGTCCGTTGTTGCGATTTTTCAATTTTGCATGGTGGAAGGGCGGATGTTCTCAATCTTGTGTGTACACAAAAACACAAGGACAAGAGTTGTTTTGAAAAAAATGAAAAATTAAATTTTTCTTCCGAAACAAAGGAACAAAAAATTATTAATGCAGAATGTCTGTTCTCTGCCTTTTTACTGGAGCACAACCTGCCACTGAATGCATAGGATCACGCTGCAGCTTTATTTAGAAAAATGTTTCTCAATAGTGAAATCGCTAAGAAATACTCAATTGCAAGGATGAAAACATATGCAATTGTTAAAGAAATGGGTTTGATAAATAAATCTTCAGTTATTGATTGCATTAAAACAGCTCCGTTCTGCCTCTCTACGGATGGAAGCAATAATACCGATTCAAAACTGTATCCAATTGTTGTTTCTTTTTTTTAATCCAGAATCTTCAGAAATTGAGTGCAGTTTACTTTCTGTCCTCACTTTAGAAGGACATTCGACAGGCTTTAATATAGCACAGCTAATTATTAAAACTTTAAAAGAAAATGCAGTCCCTCTGGATAATTGCTTAGCACTTGATGCCGATAATGCATCAGTAATGTTAGGCTTAAGGACTGGTGTTGCAGGCATCTTAAGAAAGGAAAATTCAGATTTGCAGATTATGAGGTGCACCTGTCACCTCTTAAATTTAGCAGCTGTAAAAGGGGCAGCTTCTTTTCAATAAATGTGGATGAACACATTGTTGATATTTATTATTATCTTGAAAGGAGTTCTAAAAGGAAGGAAAAATTGAAACAGTTCCAACATCTGCATAATACTGAAATGAGAAAAATTTTGAAATATTTGTGTACACGTTGGCTGTCATTAAAGAAATTATCTAGAATCCTCGATCAATGGAACCTTTTTGCATTTTTTAAAGAAGTGAATGCTTCGAGAGTTAAGATAAAAGGCTCTATTGAAAGTTATAAAATACTTAAAGTAAATGGAGGTGTAGTTACTACTTACATTGTTAAAAATAGATTTGAGAAAAATAAAGTAATTTCTGCACCATTAAGCAATTCAACTGGCAGTTCTCAAAGTAATACTGCAAAATATAAACGTAAAGCTGATACAGATTTCTCTCAAAATAAAAAAATTGCTCAACACACGAAACATTTTCCGATTACTGTAAGTTTAGCTAAGCATGAATCTGCCACTGTTCATAACATTCTGAATACGAAAGCAAAATCTACCACTGTTCATAAGATTTGTATGAAAACTGATTAAAGTGTCTTTTTGTTTGGTTTTCTTAAATAATGCAAGTAATAAAAATGTTATGTGTAAGGTATTTTTGTGTTACTTGCATTTAAGAATAGTAACTATTTAAAGTTAATTCATTATTAAAAACTATATTTTTATCATTTTGTGAAAAATCTCCTGATTTCTTAAAAAAAAAAATCTCCTGTTTTATGAGTGGCATAGGTTGGCAAGTATGGTATAGATAGCCAAGAGGAGTACTTTGATAGCAGCTAGGATCATTGCTTGGTAAATGGAATTTTCTATTTTTTTACGACCTTTGTCCTGTAACGTTTCTGACAAAGGATGCACATAGAGATAGTAAGCCTTCGCAACTAGATAACAAACAGTATTTTCTGTAGGAACTTCTTAATAATTGATTTTTCATGTCCCATAATTTGAGATCCATGTAATCTACTATTTAACTGATGCAACTTCCTTCATATTGAAACCTCTTACATATCCTGGCAGAATTTTATCTGTACAGTAAAATAAAGATTGTTTGTTTTTGTAGGTGGAAAATTTTAATTTCAAAGTGAAAGCTGTGTTCATGGCCATTATGATCAAGCGGATAATAGAAGCTGAAAAAAATCCTCAACTTCTTGATGATAGAGATTATTATGGGAATAAAAGACTTGAATTAGCTGGTTCTTTATTATCCTTGTTATTTGAAGATTTATTCAAAAGATTTAATTTAGAGGTATGCATATGTGAATTAATATATTGTAAATTTTTTACATTTGTTTGAAATAAGGTGAAAGTTTGCATTATTTTCTGATTGTGATGTTATAATGAATCTTATCTGTTAAATTTAAATATTTAATGAAATGATATTTATGAAGCCATACTTTAAATAAGAAGGTAGTTTTGTCTTATCTTATTAAATTCCTAATTAATGTTTAATTAGGAATTTAACTTCTTGTAGTTTTGACCAACAGTCCATTAGTTCCATTCCTAGGCTCAGATATGTAGAAGGTCATAAAAGTTATGTCTTATTATGTCCGTAGAAGTCCTGAAACACAATGATAGATCACGCTAACTAAAAACTAGTGTTTCAGAGTCTCATCACCACAGTCAACATTGAAGATGGTGGCTTATTACGGCAGAATGATTTGCTGACATTTCTATTAGCTACTTAGATACAATTAAAGACACATTAGGAGTTCTAAATGACCCATTGATCTTTGATTTTTCATCTTAAGTCCCTTTGAATTTTTTTATGATGGTACTGGGTGAAGCAACAGATTCATGAAAGCAGAATTATAGGCAAAGATGAATATGTTGACAATTCTGGAACAAATGTGTTTTGCTGTTCTTTTAGTAAGTCTCTGTAATCAGATGGAATCAGTGCCTTGGTTTGTCATTTATGCCAGAAGTAGCTGAAATACTAGATTAGGCAGAATTCTCTGAAATTTCGGTCGCTCAGAATGTAAATATTGGGATGTGAAATATATTACATGCCATATATGATTATTTCAGTTCTGCTAATAATTGTTGCAAAATATAGCAGTAAATCTTTCTGTCAGTTTTGTTTTCAGGGATATAGATTAAGCCTATAGATGGGTTTTGTTATTTATTGGCAAAATGAAATCTTTATGAAGTGATTTGAAGCTACAAAATGTGATTGAAGAAATTTAAAAAAAAAAAAAAAAAAAAAAATATTAGTCTTGCTTTTTATGTATTTCTTTCAAAACTTCCTACATTTATGAACTTTTTTCTTAATGTAAATTGCATTTTCGTTCAAAAAGCAGTTTCCTCCAATTGGCTTTTCAAAGCCTTTCATGATTAAGGGGAGATGTAGTTTCTATTTACTAAAATTGGTATTCATATAGATTGGCTGTTTTAAGTATGGAAATTACAAAACAGTGCTCGATTTAATTTCTTGATTAATTTGTATTTATTGTGTGTAATGAATATGCTTATGAAAGTATATTCATTTTGTCAGTCTTTTGATTGTAGTTAAGTTTAGGTAGACTATCAGAACTGAAGACATTTGTGAAAAATAAAATAATTGCATAATTATTTTAAAGAATATTTTACTTTATGTTGTAAACTATTTTTATACTTACCTGGTATTTTTTCGTATTTTATTTAGGTTTGTTTTAGTTAGATGGTGAAAAATTATTTACTTGTAATTTTTCATAGTTGAAAAGCTATTTATTTGACTCTTATCCTTTTTTTCATTTTTTCATCTCTCCTATAGCTGAAAGAAATTTGCAATAAGTTACTGCCAAAGATAAAAGCTGGGCCATTTGATCCTTTAAAGCATATGAAACCTGATATCATTACTAATGGATTGATTAATGCTATAGCAACGGTAATTTTTCTAAAAATTAAATGAAGATAATTAAGATCAGTCTTACCTGAGGTGCTAAGGCAACAAGAATCAGTGTAATACTCATAGGTTGCTGATTCTTGTTGCCTTAACATAATTGTTATTTCAAATCAGATCAGTCATATTTTTAATTAATTTTTTTCTGCCTAAGTTCTACAATGTAAAGTCTATGCTTTGAGCTGTTTATGTTTACAATGTATATTATGATGAAGCCCATGCCAGGTTTAATAAGTTAAAACTTTTGATGCACAATTAATTAATTCTGTTGTACAAATTTAAAAGTTTGATTTCAAAACTCTTAACAGAATCATTTATTTCATTGAAACTAATATCATCAGCAACATTATAAATAATGAATACTGGACTCTAATCATGGCATTTTTTTTGACAGCATTAAGTGAGATTTGATAAATTGTGGTAGTTGTGATGCCATGAGTCATTAAATCTGCTATTTTGGTATTCTCCATTACTCCAGTAATCAAATTAGATCTTTAGTAGACTGTACATTTCATAAAAAAAAAAAAAAAAAAAAAAAAAAAGAGTAATTGATTTTTAAGAATATTACTGCTTTAAATTGTGGCATATTTAAATGACCGCTTACATCAGATGAAAGAAACTATAACTGGGTATATATCGTAATGTGTGACTCTCTGACTGGCACAGGGTTTTGCTAAGAAAGCTCGAATTCCCCAAAACTGCTTTGAGAAAGAGTATCAGAATGCTGTGGTACTTTATACCTATTTCTTTGACATATTTCAAGATGTATGTATGTACACTTTCTTAAAGACATCTTCTAAGCTGTATATATATGGCCTTGCTGGTCAGAGGATTAACTTCTTAAAATTTATTTGAAAGAAGATTCTTTTTAAACTTCCTTTACATTTGTTTTAAAAAGTGCAATTTACCACTTTGAGTGATAATTATTGGTAGTAGTTCACATGTATATTTGACATGCAAATTAAAATTCTAAATTTTACATTCATAATTTTTCACATTTTACTGAAGTATTTTCTGTATCTTTTCATTAAATTATATAACTTAGTACTTTAACACTTCGTAGTTTAAATTGTATGTACTGATTTTAACATCATACAGACACTAAAATTCTAGACAGCCATATTTTATACTAAATTTAATTTTTCAAATTTGGTCTATCACATCTTTCTCATTCGTTTCTAAGTCAAATGAATCCCCCCATGTGCATTTAATCTTTATTCCTTCTTATGTTTCATTTATCATGTACTTGATAGTTCAGTGGCTCTGAGTAGTGGCTTACAGAGGAGATGGTAGTCAGATCACACTCTAATAGATTAGTTTGTTTTTTTTTTTTTTTGCCTGCTGTTTCTATATTGTTAATCTTCGCGTAATTATTATACTGAAAATGTATTTTGTTTATGTCAGATTGTACATCTACTTTCTCCCCGCCTAGATTAATTTACATTTATTTTTTAATTGAAATATTTTCTCCCAAGAGTTTATTTTCCCTCTTCATGCTTCTTGTTTATTAGTGTCTTTTATTTTTATCAATCTTTTGTGTATTAATTATATGCAAAATTTATGTATTTCATATGGCGTAAGTTACATTTATATTTTAATTTAAATGTATTCATTTTCTTTCATTATATGACTTTCTTTTCCTATCCAGTCTTTTTAAATCACTGTTGAAATATATTTCAGATGCAGTTTTTTTATCTGAGATTTTGTTGATACTAATTTTTAGATTTCTCTTATGTTTATTAAGAACATATAACTCAGATTCAAATAATTTCTACTGGTATAATTTTTGTTCAGGTAAAATTTCTGTTGTACATATAATTTAAGTGAGTGCAGTTTAAACATGGAGAATAAATTTAATTAATTTTGCTTTATATTTTTAATTTTATTTTTAGCCCCAAAGAAATGTTAGTATTATATGAGATATTAGTTAGAAATGACATTTTGCATTGAATCACTATAAACGGCATATCACTTTTCAGTTGTTGCCACCAGATATTATTGCCTTATATTATATTTAAAGAAATTAAGTAATAAAGAATCTTCATGAATGTATGCATGTTTCTCGTATTGTAATAAAACGATGGTACCTAGAGCCATAAAATTCTGAATAACGTAACCTTCAACCTAAGCATGGGCACCTGGAAGCCCGAAGTGTGAATTTCAAATTTGCTTTATTATCTGTTTCATATTTTGTAAAGCTTTAATGAATTTTTGATTAACTAAATGATTTCAAAGCGAGGAGTGGTAACACTATATGGGGGGGGGAAAACATTTTTATCTCTTCTGAGACTGTCTGTTGGAGATTCTAAAGATATGCTGTTTTTAAATATTTTTTTATTTTCCTGTTGAATGGAATTGTGTGTGGCCTAAGTGCTATGAATGTAATATTTAACAAATAAAGTCAACACACAAAGTATTGAGAAAAGGCAACAAATTTTTTGTAAAGCCATCTGAGTAAGAAAACTGAGCATTGGTGTGATGAACTGAGAAAAGACTGAAAATATAAAGAAAAAAGAAAAATGTATGCCAACACTTAATGCTGCATCGGGAATTCTAAATGTATACTGCTATGCTGCTTTTAAAATTTTTGTAATTTTGCAGCTGAATTGTGTATGGCATTAAGTGTGAAGAAAATATTGTGTAATAATAAAGCTTTAAAAAGGGGAGGAGAGTTAATAGGAGTGAGTGTAACAGCAGACTGGTAGATTGCAAGCTTTCCATGTTATAAGAAGATAACTAGTTTGTGTCTTTGATTTGAAATGCTCCCAAGAGCTCCTTAGCAAAACATGTTTTTCCTCTCTTACTGTCTTCTTGTATCTTTTAACAGTATTATCTAATTGGCCAATTTTAGCAAACTTCTGGAACTTTCACTTGAAGAGTTACTGTAAGAATCTCTCTGCTGAGGAGTCGTATATTAATTTAGTCATTAGTCCTTACTGTTACAGGACTCATCAAATTTAGTGACTGCTGAGTAAGAAATGCTATTTACTGTGTGTATTATGTATAGGACTTTATATCTTTTACATTTAATTGGTACTTGAAGACTATAATAAAATCCATTAATAGACTTAATTAACTATTTCTCCTCGTGGTTAATTCCTTATAAGCATAAAGAGTCTTTCACTCTTCCACTCTAGTATGAAATTGAATCTTATCTTTGGAACTTTTCATAGATAAACTGTATTATGTTCTTGAATCTCTCGCTTATTTTTTACTCCTTTTGAAGCAGAAATGAAGTATAAACATTTTGAACTCTACTTGGAGTTATTCTAATGTAAGAATGCTGATTGTAATGAAGATCATTTGCTGATAAAGAATATAGTTCTATCCTTTGGAGTAGACATATTTTAGAATTTTATATTGAAATATGCAGTTTTTAAGGAAAAGTTAAATAAAAATGAGTTTTACGCTTAGTCAAGACAGAGTATTTCACATCCAGTCTTTAATTGAAAAATGTAATTTGATTATCAAATGGAAGGATCCTTTATTGACATATTTGATGAAAGTATGAATTACGGTTACTTTAACTCCATTTTCACTCTTAGGAAAAGTATTTTTTTATTTGCTGAACAGAAGAACTGGAAATATTCGTCATAATGTCTTTCCAAAAAGAAATTTCTTACATATTAAGCTATTATGGTGGGGGAGATTGGAAAGAAGTTTTGGTCTGCTTCATATTTAGCCCACTAATAGCCAAGCATATAAGGTTACTGAATGCTAATATGTTAACTTATTAAATCCCTGTATACAAGCCAGTATTTCTTATAAAGTCCTCTAAGGCATCCCTCCTGCAGATAACCCTACTGTTGCTTTGGCATAATATGATCGGAACCCTGCTTCATGTTTCAGCATGTACATTTAGTTTCTGTCTGTTACTAAGATTATCATTATGATTGCTGTTAAGTTACTTGATCATTATCCTGATAAACTTGATAATGAAGATAGATATGCATTTATTAGTTTTTTTTAATTCTTGCAAATGGTGAAAGTAATAATAAATTGAAATGCACTTTACAAAGCATTGCAACTGCAAAATGAACAGACAGCCTTATTGAATGTTTACAGCCATATTGAATGGTTGTGCATAAATGCATAGATAAGTGAACAGAGTTTTAAGAGAGTAATAGTGATAATTTCTTTATTATTTTTTTCTCTAAGAGAAAATTTAAGTGTTAACAATTTCTGATTGACTTTAATATTGTGGCACAAAAACCTTTAATATGTGGTTGCCTAATGGTATGCTATTCAAACTGTGTAACTTGGTCTATTTTTTTTAATGTTACCAAAACTTTTTAATAAAATTTGATAAACAAATAAGGTCTCGCAATATGAGCATTATGTGTATGCTTTGTCTGCAGAGTGTCGTGATCATAACTGATCCAAAATCTCATTTCTCTCTCACAGTTGAATTTTAAATAATTATATTCCATACATGATTTCAGCTGGCATGCCAGACTAATCAGCATCCATACAAACATATACTGTTTGCTGTAGCATTGTAACCATGTATATGGACTTAAAGCATTTCTTTTGTTTCCAAATGTAGAGACTGTTCCTTAACAAATGTGCTATGACAATGGCAGTCACGAAGAAAATCATTAAAAAGAGAGGCAAAAAGATAAAGGAAATGATTATGGTCAAAGTTAAAAAAATTGTTAAGAAACAAAAAAGAAGTTTGGTAATGGTTGACATTTGAAGATTTTATAACAAGTCACACAAAATTTTTACAACAGTATATATTTGCACAATGTTAAAAAGAGCTAAGAATATTAGATGCAGCAAAAGGAATCGCAAAAATATCGAAGAAGTGATCATGTGGTCTAGAAGATGTACAGAGTTTGCTTCTTGTGTGAACAAAATGAGAAACAACTAGTAAGTCTTACTGTGACCAAGAACTTTTATCTGCAAAAAAAAAGAAAAGACTTTGTTCCTCAACTTCATAAGTAAACTGTTGGGTGCGTTGACAAAAAACAAAGGAGAATTCAGAGTAGGGGTACTTTCATAATTATAAAGGGATATGTGACATCCATACTGTCGTGACACATGAAGAAGCTGAGAGTTTGAAAGGTGAGCTAATTGAAGTTCCAGAAGCCAAATTCTAGATCAACATGGCAGCATGGAAGAGAGAGATTGCAGTGAATCTGTTTGTTAGCCACTACTCTTTTCAAAAGTAAAATGCAGATTTATTTGTTTGACATATTTTTACTTTATATTTTATAGCGATAATTTTTATATGAATATTTTGGAGTTTGGGTAAGCAAAGTTCTTTGCAAACGAAGGTAATACTATATTTATGTTTTTGCCATTTTTACTTTTTTCAGAGAGTGAATAATCATGATTATTTTTTGTAATATTTTCACATTCTTTGTTATCACTGATACTTCCATCTTAACTAATTACATGCAGTCATTTCAAATACATTTCAGAACTATTATCATTCATTTGCTTAAATGTTTATAATACAAATATGTATATTTTAATTTTGTGAAAGAAAATGCCTTGTTAATATGATCATAGTAAAAGTGACTTCACTGTTAAGGGATATGGGTATGAATTACAGTTAAGGTATGGACATTTTGTCGTATCAGTTTATTTTGAGGGTTTTTTTGGCTTCCTCTAGTGTTGCATCATGGTAACATTTTTTGTGATGAAGCACCAAAATAAGTTCAACTATGCTCCAGGAATTCCCAGGAGCTTGGCCTTACTGAATTGACAAATAACCAGCAAGATATTTAAAGAGATAAAAAAATGTATAAGGTATTTCTTCCGCTCTCCTAGCGTGCCTTCGTGGTGTAGTGATCAGCACACTGAGCCGGTATTTCAGAGGTCCGTGGTTCGATTCCCGGTAAAGGCGGCTGCGCATTTTTCATCTTGTCCCTCTTCCAAAAAATACCTAATGTCTCCACAGTGGCACCCGAACTAAAAGGGTTGTGGATGATGACTATCCACAACCAGGATTTGGCGATTAGGTCCCCTAAAAAATCCCATTCGCCCTTTAAAAGGGGCAGTATATAAGGTGTTTCTCCCACCTTCCTAGCATGCCTTCGTGTTTCTGCACGCTGGGCCGGTGTTCCAGAGGTTCGGGGTTTGATTCCCGGCGAAGGCGGTTTGCTATTTTTCATCTTTCCTGCTTCCAAGAATTAACCTAATGACTCTACAGATAATCATATAAATAATTGGAAAAATTAAGCAACAAAATATAAGTATTGATTAAAACTGCTTTAATTTAATTAAGACAAAAAAGTAAAACTTGTTATTACTGTCACATAGTTGGTAATATTGATAGCACTTGTCATCTAATTAAATTACTTTTAAATCTTACCTAATTCTATTCAAAAGCAGGCTACATAAACAATGATAAAATTGCATTATAAGGGGAAGATTCTGAAAATGACATTCTCTTACATCAAATGGTCTGTAAATATATGGACAATTACATAAAATATTTAATATCTGTCAAAATGCAAATTGTTGTAACTTATGATCTATGAAATTTATTTTTCTATAGATTTAAATTAATTTCTTAATAAATTTTATTTTAAAGCCATAAAATTTTCTTCATTTCATACTTTGGGTTCAGAAAATGTAATTTAGATGAATATCAATAAATTAAGCATCTGAGTTTTGACATATGAAGGATATTTAGCAAAATAAATGAATGTTGTCAGTAAATGTTTAAGAATATGCACAAACATGCTTTACAGTTTCATAAAAATATTATGTTCTAAAATATCTAAATAGCATTTGTTAAAATTTTTAAAAATTAATATGAAGAAAGAATTGTACATTTTTATAATAATCTGAAAAAAACTTAAAATGATATTTTCTTATACATACTTTTGATATTCACAGGGAAACTGGACAGTAAAGCGCTTCAGAATGGAACGAATAGGTGTGACTCAAGTTCTTTCTCGTTTATCATATATATCTGCTTTAGGTATGATGACAAGAGTTAACAGCCAGTTTGAAAAATCCCGAAAAGTCTCTGGTCCTAGATCATTGCAGGGTTCTCAGTGGGGGATGTTGTGTCCAAGTGATACTCCTGAGGGTGAGGTAATTATTATATTCATTTAATTTGGAAGCTCGAGGTTTAAAAGTAAATTGTTATGTTTTAGTGTGAAAAATAACTGCTAGATGTTATTCATTGTGGATGCTTTAGTTCTCATGCTAATTAAAGAATTTTGTGTTTAAAAAAATAGAAGCATATTTCAGTTTGTTTTTCTTTACAAATATTGCAGTTTTGGGAGAATCGATTATTTCTAGTAATGTTGTGTTGAACCAATCATTTAGTACCATTTTGCAAAACCTGCAAACCACTTTGCTTTGCTTTTATGCTCCTGTATTACATTCTGAAAATTCTCAAAATATTTTAAAACATTTAACTGCTATATTAAAATTTGGCCAAACAATAATTGTATGATGGTCTATTCTGCACTTGCTACCTTATTTATTATATGAATCTTCAAGACTGTTATTTATTATTTTTCTCTTTTTTTATTCTCCTCCATTCCTTTTTTCAGAATGTTATTCTACTTCAAAAATGTTATTTGTCTCATATGTGGACTCTTTAATTTTCATTAAATTTTGATTTTTTCCAGTAATATTATACTGAAATTAAGACTACAAAATAATTGCACGTTTTGAATCAAGTAGAAGAAAGTGTTGTGTATAATTCATCAGTATTTAAATTTAAAGCTAAAAATGAAATCATAGGAAGAAAGAATTGTAAAACATGAAAAATGAGCATCTTGCATCAAACATTTAGCAGAATTGGGAATGAAATTTAAAATTCATGAAGGAAATTGAAAACTTCAATGAATGCACAAATAATAAGGAAATAAAAGAAATTTATTGCTTTATAAGGGGAGAGGGTTAGATAATTTAAAAATAACCTTTATTTGAATTGAATAAAGCTAAAAGATGCACAAATTATTATATTGCAATAATTACTTTATTGTGGTGCCCTGGAATTCATGATTATTTAAGGTATGCCTATACATATTTTTGGATGATTTTTATTTATTTTGTGTTGTCTCTATTTTTGGGCAAATGCTCAAAAACACAAAGGCATCAATGGCCCTGCAATGAATGCATTTGGAAAAAAAAAGTCTGAATCTAGAACAATGAAAATTATTTATGTGTGTATACATATATACGAGGGTTGGAACTTTAATAGTGGCAACACAGCTGAAAACACTACTCGACAAAACCAAAGAATATCGCGTATACCACACCTAAACTACATACCTACCTTACCTCTCAGCAAAATGACTCATCCTGCCTACGTCATGCGAATGCGGAGTGACGGAAGAACGGATCCTTGTGTTAGCTCGCGGTCTAAAGAAAGTGTTGTCAGGATGTTTTTAAAACAAGAACAACAATGTTGGATAAAAATTGAATGTGCCAGAGGTCGTACAGCATGACGGTGTCATCAAGTGCTTCAAGAGGCTTGCGAGGAATCTGCATTTCCTTACAGAACTGTAGCAAGATGGGTGAAAGCATTCAATAAAGGACGCCAAAACGGGGCAGACATGCTGCGGCCAGGTCGTCCGAGTGTCAGCGATGCAGACGTGCAAGTTGTTGCCGCACTAATCGACAGTGATCGCCGCCAAACGATTCGTCAGCTGGCCGGACAAACAGGATTAGCACATACGACTATGCTGCACATTCTGAAGGAACGCGTGTCCATGAGAAAAATTGCTTCACGATGGGTTCCACATCAATTGACGGAAATGCAGAAATGGCTACGATACGATGCTGCCCGAACCCACCTGGAGCGCTATGTGCGCGAAGGAGATGCTTTTTTACTCCATATCATTATGCTGGATGAGACTTGGGCCCGATCGTACCAGCCAGAACTGAAACGACAATCAAACGAATGGCGTAATCACGGGTCACCACGACGTTCGAAATTTCGTCAGAACCCCAGCAATGTGAAAGTTATGGTGATTCTCGTGTACGACTGTGATGGTGGCATCCTAACACATACCGTTCCCCCACAGTAGACCATCACTGTGCAGATTACTGCTCATTTTTGGAGCACAATCTCCGACCAGCTTTGAGAAAAAAACACTTTCTGCAGAACGCTCCTCTCATTTTGCATGACAATGCTCGGCCGTATGCAGCACAAGCTGTGACTGATTTGTTCAAGCGATGGGACTGGGAAGTGCTTTACCATCCACCATACTCCCCAGATCTAAGCTCTTGTGACTATGACTTAATTCCTAAGATGAAGGAACCACTTCGTGGCACTCGCTTCCAAACTGTTCCTGAGATTCTTGCGGCAGTAGACCGGTCCATTCAAACTATCAACAAAGCAGGCACTGCTACAGGTATTCTGCGACTTCCACATCATTGGAAACGGGTTGTACACGGTGTTGGCGACTACATTGAAGGACTGTAAAACATGGTGACATGAATCACTTTTGTATTCCTTGTAAATAAAAATAGTTGCCACTATTAAAGTTCCAACCCTCGTATGTTAAATTCTTTAGACATCAATACATTTTCTTCTTTTTTGCAATGCACTTAAGTAAAATTTTAAATATTTAAAACTTTCTACTTATATACTTTTTTTTTTTTTTTTTTTTACTATTTATCTTAAATTTTAGGGTTGTGGTTTAGTTAAAAATTTAGCTTTAATGACCCATGTGACTACCGATCTAGAAGAAGGTCCTGTAGCTCAGTTAGCGTACAACTTTGGAGTAGAAGATATTCATTTGCTAAGTGGTCATGAACTGTCAGATCCTGAAGCATATATTGTTTTTGTAAATGGTAAATAAGCATAATTCATGTTTTCTTCAATATGTAATAAATACTATTCTCTATATTGCAAAATCTGATTTATTGTGTTTTATTAATATGATTGTTATTTCAAAACTTGCTGGTATTTTTTTTCTTGCATGAAGGATTTTTTTAGTCTAATTTATGAGATTTTTAAAACCAAGTAACTGTAGTGATGTGGCCACTATTAAAGAGATAATTATAATACATAGCATGAACTATTATATACACTGTGTAATACAAAATGATCATATTTAAATGAGCAGTTGCATCATTGTGACAGAACTAATGATGCAAGTGTGTGCATTGCTTGATTATGTCAGGAGATCTTAGTATTACATTTGGCATAGATGCATAGATAGGTAATTATTTGTTTCCTGTATATGTATCTGTATGACTGAAAGATATTGAAAGTGAAATATTGTTCCATTCAGCTTTTTTGACAAAACTGCTATCTTGCAAAATATGTTTTTAAAGCAATATAAGATTACTTCTTGAATGAAAAAAGCAATTTTTTTTTTGTTTTGTTTTAGACACAATTTAAGGCACCCATTCAGTAACTGGTATAACATGAAAAAGCCCATCCTTTTCATGATGTGCCCAATGAATAGCATACATACGTTTTATAAAAGTTGCCTTTGGAGAAATATTTTTCAAGTTTTAAATTGAATAAAACTTATGATTCCATCATTAATGCAACATTAAGATCTTGGAAGTCTTATAGAAACTTTTAGAGCTGCTACAAAGGTATTGTAATACATTTAGGGAGTCAAAATGACAATTTGAAAAAAGTGAGAAGTCGCTTATTTAGAACTCATGTATTGTATCTTCATAATATATATTGACTGAAAATTATGTAGTCTAATACCAGGTATCAATACCAACATAATAAATACACTGGTGAAATAAATTAAGAGAATTTGCATATTTGATCTATGATTAAGACACAATAACACGCCGAATAAATACTAATTCAGAAGTCAAACAACAAAAATCAGCGTTATACCTACAAAATTTTCACAGGACTAGTTTCGATGGTTTTACCGAACCATCATCTTCAGCTGCAAAACCGCAAATGAACAAGGTAGGACCATCGAAACTAGTCCTGTGAAAATTTTGTAGGTATAACGCTGATTTTTGTTGTTTGATCTATGATCTCCAGAACTACTGGACAGATATTAATCAAATTTAGTGTGAACATAGGTTGATATAATACAAACAAAATAAACATATAAACATTCAACAGTTATAATAGGCACACATTTTTGTCTGTAATACTCATGGGAGTCTGAAACAGCGGTTGGAGAAGACACAAAAGAAATGGATTAGTAAGGGATGGTCTCATCTTACAGCCATATAGGCCTCGCAGCATGATGTCATACTGGAAATAAGGCAGTTGATCAGTGCCTGTGGCAATTGGTCCCGCTCATTCAGCAATGCTGTTTTCAGTTCCTGGTTGATTCTGAGAGGGTTTGCGAGTTGAAATTGCCCTCCCCAGAGCGTTCCAGACATGCTTTCTATAGGGTTGAGGTCTGGAGACCTGGCTGGCCAATCCATCCATCGAAATCCTCACTCTCAAGAAATTCGTTGACCAAAAGAGCTCTATGTGGCTTCGTGTTATCATCCTGTAAGATGAACTTGGAGCCCACTGCACCCTGGAAAAGACGAACATAGGGCTCCAAGACCTCGTACCTCAGTCACAGAGCCTCTGTCAAAGACGTAGAGAGGTGAGCGGCAATCCAACATGATACCTCCCCAGACCAATCAACCATAACTGTTGATTTCGCTGACATTGGAGGGTAGGTAGCAGGTCCCTGGCTCTCTTCATATAAAAGTACGGTGAGAATTTGTGTTTAGACTGAAACGGGACTGTTCGGTGAACAGAACGGTCACCCATTGTTCTGTACTCCAATCACTATGCTGCCTGCACCATGCTAATCAGACTCTCCTGTCCATAGACGTGAGTGGGACACAAACAGCCAGGCTTCTGATAATCAACCGTCTCTTATACAGTCTTTTGGAAAACAGTCATTGTTACATGGGTGGAAAACAGTCACCCTGTGGCTGCATACAAGTCTCGAGAGAGCTGAGAATCTGTAGCCCCTCTGTTATGCCTCACTAAAATGGACAAATAGCGATCTTCTCTGGCTGTCGTGGCTCTTGGATGACCTTGCCCAGGCTTTCTCTCGATGGATCCAGTATCCTGGAACTGTTTCCATAGGTTACACACGACACTGAGTGTTAAATTAAATTCTCTGCATATCTGGATTGTGATTGACCTGCATCTAACCTTCCCACAATTTGCCACCTTATTCCATCATCTAAAAGGTTGGTGGTTACTCATTTTTACTGTTCTGATGTGAATTTAACCGATTGCTGCAAGATAACACCAAGAAATTCGCCGAGGTGTGCTAGCGAACGCAATTCGTCTTACTCTCCGTGTGCTTATAAAGCCTATTTTTCTGCTGGCTCTGCATACATGCACCTGTACGCTTACATATTTGTCATACTAGATTTTCATTTTTATCTAGAAGCAGTGGTTTTTCCTTCAGTTCAGCTCTTTTCAAGGACTTCAATAAAATATGCAAATTCTGTTAATTTGTTTCACCAGTGTATTTGAAATCCACATGCATTTTAAAAATTGCTGTTGGTATTAACAGGAAAGCGTATTTGAAAGTGTAAAATAAGACTTAGATCAGTTAAATTTGTAACTAAATTGAGATGGGAAAAGTTATTGCAGCAGAACAGTTATGAGAGAAACTTATCAAAGAATCTGTTTTCTCATAGGCATTTTATGTATCTTTTATATGTCATAATATGAGTTAAATTTTGTAGAAATCATAGCGTTGTCAGGATTAATATTTTTTAATTATGATCTAAAGGATATGTTTTCTTTTCATGTCACTTGAACCTTGGGTTACAGTGTATCTGCATCTGTATAGAAGTTTAATGCTGAAACATTTGTTGCATTTAAATCTGTTGAAATGTAAGAGCATGGATTTGGCACTGTGAAGACTTTAAGTGACTAGCTCTTGTGTTTTTGATTTTGAAAGTTCTGAAACATTAAGTTGACACAGTTTCTAGCATTATTACTAACTGAAAGTGAGGTAAATAAGCCCTTTGAATTTATCCTTTGTCTTGTTACATATATAAATTTTTGTATAGATTAAATTATTTCAGCATATTAAAAATGTGTGTATATGGCAAAATAAATATGTTTGGATGGACTTGAAATACATAAACAGTATTTGAATTTCCCTCACAGAATTTAGAATCATCGAGTTCAAAACTTCTTCCAATTTTCCTAAAGAAAAATTCACCCATAAAAACAAGGATTAAATACATTGTATATCTCAATACTTCTACAAAGGTTTTTCATTGTTCAAAAGAAATTAATTCAAAAGCATTTTTGTTTTTGAATTATGCATTAATAATATTTTTTAATTGTTATTTTAGCTAATTTATTTTGCAAAAATTATCCAGCCTAGGTGTAACAAAATTATTTCACTTTCATTTGTAGCATTTGAGTTTGAAACTGGTAAAAGTGTAAATTTTAATGTGATAAGTGTATTTGTAGAAGAATTTGATAAATTTTAATCTTATGATCAATCAAGATCCATGAATAGAAATAATTTTTACTCGCATAAAAATATTTTAATTTTTCTTAAAATTTTATGTCACTTATTTACTCTTATCCCATTACTAGGATTTAAAAAGAAATGTTTAATATTTCATCTTATTTAGTAACTTTTTTTTTTGAGGAATTAATTATTTTTTAATGGAAACTGCAAGTTAAGTAATAAATGATGGAAAGGAATATAAATCAGAGAACTTAAAAATTGGGATTGCTAATGAATTAAAAATTTAGTATTTATTTGCTGATATATTTAATTATAATTAGTTTAATTATTATTATTTGAACATGTTATTTATATAACCATGATAAGGCTTTTTAATTGCATATTATATTTTCCTCAGGAAACTTACTTGGAATCACAAGAGGATATGGAAAAATAGTTAAAGCTTTCCGTAGATTACGTAGAGCTGGATATTTGCACGAATTTATTTCTGTATTCCCTCATCATACTCATCGTTGTATTTATATTGCTACAGATGGTGGACGACTTTGTAGGTAATAAACAATTAAATTTTGCCTTTATTTTCTCAGATAATTATTTTGGAACAAAAGTTGTACTAAACACAACGTATAAAATTTTTATTTTGCATTTCACATTATTATTATTATTGCTATTAATGTATTTTTTGCAAATTATAATAAATTTATATGTCATACATATATACACTGCTTGACATTGAAAATGCAGCACCAAGAAGGAATACTCAAATTTATGCAAATTTTAGAGTAGACGCAGGTCACTGAGTTATGCAAATGATGTGAAATGTGCAGCTTTCTGACGCATGTGAAGTAAGATATAAGGGAAGGAATGTACAGAAGGGGCGATATTCGTGTCGTTATTTCTGCCAGATGGATTATCGAAGAAAGTTGGTTTTTGTCCTGGAGGATACGTGTAATAGGAAAGAATGGCCAGGCCACCGGCAACAAAGGCACTTCCAGCAGATAGACGATTTTACGACGGGTATGGTGATCGGACTGAGAAGGGCGGGTTGGTCCTCACATCAAATCGCATGGATACCCACATGGATGGGAGCATGGTGCATCTGCTGTGGCGAAAATGGTTGGAATAAGGAAATGTGGGAAGAAGGAGGGGTGCAGGGGCAGCCAGAGTTACGTCAGCACTCGTGGATCGACGCAAGCTGTGGCGTAATAATTCTATATATTTCATTAAACAGAATTTAAAAAAATAAAAATTTAAAATATAAAACATTTTTACGGTAGGTAAATTCTAGTATACCACTGAAATACATAAATTCTGAAATAGATTTATATGTTTATACAAGTCACTTGTACCGCGATTCTGCAGCATGTGCAAGATACCCTGGATGTTCCCGTGTCAACCAGAAACCATTTCTTGTCGATTTGGTTGAATGTGGCCTGCACTCACGGTCGTCCGTTAAGAAGACTACCATTGACTCCACAGCATAGACGCCAACATTTAGAATGGTGCTGGACTGGAGCGATGTGGATAACAGAATGGCGACACGTCATGTTTTCAGATGAGTCGCGCTTCTGTTTATCCAGTGACGGTCGCTGCATACTTGTGTGGTATCGACGTGGAGACAGATCTAATACAGCAGTAACTGTGGAACACCCCACTGCGTGATAACGTGGCATAATGGCTTAGGGCACTGTTGCCTACGATTTCAGGTCACCTCTAGTTCGGGCACTATGATGGCCCAACATTACTTGGATAATGTACTGCGGCCGGTGGCAATCCCCTACCTTCAGGGGCTGCCTAATGCAACTTTTCAGCAGAATAACACCTGACTACACAGTAATCGCATCTGCCAACATGCTCTGCAAGGTTTGCAGATGCTTCCCACCGTACTCTTCTAACCTGTCACCAATCGAACATGTGTGGGATGTGATTGGACGCTGTTTACAGACTTTGCCCTTGCCTCGTTCAGAAGATGAACGGCAAATGGTTGAAAGGGAATGGAGAGCCATCCCTCAGGACACCATCCGCACTCTTATTGACTCTATGACTAGACATGTTTCTTTGTGCATCACTGTCCGCGGTGGTCCTACATCTTACTGAGCCGATGCTGTTCTCAATCTGTATTCTGACTGTCATTTTGAAATAAAGATCATATATTGCTGCTTGCTGTCTCTGTCTTTTTTCCAATTTCATCACTTTCTGACCACTCCTTCTTGGTGTTGCATTTTCAATGTCGAGCAGTGTATAATGCTTTTATCTAATTCAGTTTTCTAATTTTGAATTAATGATAGCATACTGAAAATATAGTATATAGTTTTTAGTTTTTTTGATATTGCACTCTGTTATGTTAAATTTCCCTTAATTAATTTTGGCATATAACATGAGAATAATAGTCTTGTTGAATAGTCTTGTTAACAGTGTCACAAATCTGGTTTATTCTAAGCAGTGAAGTATAAGAAATAATATTTTATTTCACCCTTTATTCTTTTTTATAGTTTATCACATAGAAAAAAGTAAATGTTAGTTTTAAGAGATGACATATACAAATATCTATTAGTGACATATTAGATATTTAGGTAATAAAGCTTCAGATTTGAAGTAATTGATGAATATGATTCTGAAAAAGATTTGTTATGCTAAATATTTGAGTTTTCAAAAGAAATTTCTGGAGATTTCTGAAAGTATGTTCAAAAAGTATAAATTTATGGATAAAAGACAAAAATAAAATTTAGTGTTTGGAATATTTGTGTTAAGATACTAAGATTATTGTAATGTACACATGTAAAATTTAATTCACTGTGAATGATTATATTAAAATTTGAATTAATGTTTTACAGTTATATGTAAAATATGATTTATCTTTCCAGATTTAATTTAGTTGATATTAAAAGTATTTAACTTAATACTTGTACATACACTCTTTGGAAAATTGTCCTCTTCATAACAGCATGCTATCATAAAAATGCCCTCATCATTATGAAAATTAGTTGCTAACTTGAAAATAACTTCCATTATGCTAGGAATGCATTATGCAAATCCAATTTATGTGCTTTAGTAATCGATTAAACAGAGGATAAAATAAATGCATGATGCCTTTAAGAATAGCTGCCAAACATTGGACTATGAAAAAAATGAGAGTTTCTAGAAGGTTTTGCTTTGCACTGAAACAGTTATTTGAAATGAGTAAAATATATTAATATTTAATTAGAAATTCTAAATTTTGTGTTCTTGAGCTAATTTTATGTTGTAATTTTCTGGTCATTGTAGAGTCATTAAATTTTTGAAGCAGAAATCATAAAAAATTGCAATGCCCTCACCAGGATTCAAACTCCTAACCATTTGATTACTACATGCTTTCAATTACACCATGATGGCATGCAGTAAGAAGTGGGAAATAATTTACATACTGACCCTCTTAACAAGGAACTGGGAAGGTGGAGACCTAACCACCAAATTCTAGTGAAGACTATTTATTATCCACCACCTGTTAGTTCAGATGATACTTGTAGAATCATAAGTTTTTCAAAGCAGGAAACATAAAAGTGTGCATTGCTGTCACTGCTCTGGACCTTGCAATTGCAAGCAAATATGCTTCCAATCACACTTTGGAGGTATATGGTAAGGAGGAAGAAAATAGCTTGCAGCTATTATACTGAGAAAATCCAAAGTGGAGGGGGAAGCTTTTATTTTATCAAAGTAATTTTAAATGTGATAAAAATAATAATTAATGTATTGGGTCATCTGGAAAGTTTTGCAGGTTTTGATGGTAAATGCTAATGAACCAGTGCTAAAAAAACATGAGAAAATTTCGTTGAATCGCGTAAGCATAACTGCTTCACCCACCATTTGATGTTGTGAGGGTGTGGTGGTTCTTTACCAAATTTCATGCAAAAATGTATTTGAATAACAATAAACGATGTTTTGGTGCATTCCTAAACAGCCCTCTTCCTCCTGCACGGATGATGCCATTTTGATTAGCAGTGCCTTTAGTGGCGATTTTGTAACCAGAAGATTTTTTGTTGTCAGGTAAAACATGTATAATTTTTAGTTTCAGAATTAATTTTTTTTTCGGCCTAGTAAATTGATTACAGAATTTGTATTATGCTATACTTTTTGTCCCATTCTATAAAAACGTGCTGTATAATTTATATATAATAATAATAACTTCAAAGAAAATGAATTTGAAAATTTGACTAACGGCTCAACTTTTTGGTTGATTCAATACTTACTATTGTATGGATAAATTTAGTAATATAGCCTCTACTGATGTAAAACAAAGTTAAATACAAACATTAGTAGATACACAAATGTTCTAGTAACAAAAATGTATGTAGCTTAACCCAATACACTACAAATAAATTGTACAGTAGCTGAACACAATTTATATGAAATAAAATTTTGTAAGAAAAATTATGCTGAAAATGTTTACTAAGTAGAAAATGGAATTCCCAGATAAAGTTTCATTAATTCAAGTTCCTCGATCATTTAAGTTAATGCTAAATGATATGTTTGAGAAGTAATATATTTTCTGTTCACTGAATGATTTAATGCTGGTGAAAGGCACTGCAGATTGTCTGCAATATATGGTGAAAATTATCTGAATAAGAATTGCATTAAGGACACGTGGAAGTTTGACAAGATCAGAGAGAAGTTCATAATGAATGCCATCCATAATAGCCCCATCCACAGTGATTCATGGGCATGTTTAGAAAACTGACCAATGTCTTCGAGCAGAGTAGTTCCTCAATCTCTGAGCATTCTTTGGGATTTCTTCTAGTTTCTTGAATAATGCTGTATGAAATCGTCGTCTAAAGACTTTTTGTTGACTATCTCAAATCTGTGCAAGATGAGTGCCAAACATATTGATTCAAATGTGTAAAACCATTAGCATGGGAGCAATTTTGATATTTTTTAGTAAGTTATCACTCTCAGTGTGTACCATTTTTTGATAAGATGGTGATTGATGATGAAATGTTTCAGTGCTGAAATGAAAGAACATTACAGTCAAATAGCAAAAACCCATTGACCTGAAATCCTATTCTAGTGCCTATTCTATTTATATGTTCTGGAAACCGCTATATGGAGAACGAAATACCGAAAAAAATACTTACCCCCCAAAAAAAAGGGGGGAAGGAAAAATCTGAAAGCTTTCAGATTTTATATTATGCCCATTTTGTATTGTTTTGTGTGTTAACTTTATTTATTAAATACCATGTTCTTCATAATGAAACCATAAAATTAAATTCAAAAGCAGTATCACAAAATATTTAAAAGATCATATATTTAGAATTTCCGATACACAGTCTCGCGTGCTGGAGATGAAAATGTTTCCCCCCCCCATTGCAGTGTTGCCATTGCTCGCTTTGAAATCATTTAGTTTCTTAATCTGAATTTACTTTACAAAATATGAAATAGATAATAAAAGAAATTCTAAATTCAAGCTTCCAGATGCCCATACTCGGGTGGAGACGTAAGTTATTCAAAATTTGATGGCTCTAGGTAACATTCTTTTATCACAATGCAAGAAAAATACATACACTTATGCAGATTCTTCATTATTTAATTTCTTTAAATATAATACAGGGCTCTAATATTTGGTAGCATCAATTTAAAAAATTATTCGCTGTTTATAGTGAATCGACACAAAATGCCAAAATGAAATTAATAGCCTTTCTGGGCAAATTGTCCCTTTGGGCTAATAATGACTTCATAATTTACGAGTAGTAATGAGTCATAATGGAAATACCAAATTATTGACATCATGGTAAAAGTTTTTTCCCGTCCAATCTGCATCGAGGTAAAAAAGCAGACGATTCACTCAACTTTTCTTTCATGTTACATGTTGTATTTTCTGAGTTTGTTGTTTCACAAGATTGTTTAATGCTGCCGGTTTTTTTTAAATCCAGATATTTTGTGGATAAATTAAAAATATTTTAAATTTCAGCGCTTTTTAATACAATGACAGAAAAGAAACATGTTCATGATTTTACTTCTTGCAACATAGAAAAACATATACACGTTGCGTTGACGGTAATACAAAAAGTGAAAATTTTGCAAAAGATGGAGGTTGGTATTACACCTCTGTTTATAGCAGAATTGTATGAAATTCTGCTATAAACAGAGGTATGGACAACACAGACTGTGTATGATATATGGGAAAATAAAGGAAAAACTATTGAATTTTTACTGCAGCTGCGATTCTAAACCCCACAGTCCGAAACTGGAAATCTTTGCATAAGGCAAAATCAGCAAATCTCGATTTTGTCTTGTGTGAGTGGTTCCGGCTGCAGCAGAGTAAGACCGCTCCTGAGAGAAAAGGGAAAGCAGATTCATGTTGATTTAAAAATAGAGGAGCCATGCAATTTCAGCAGCAGTTAGCTGAACAGATTTAAACAGAGACATGGTATACATTATCTGAAAACATGTGGGAGAAAAACTTTCTGCAGGTATAGATGCTACAGATGAATTTATTGATGAATTTTCTGTCTTAGTGGCAGAAGAAAATATTAGCCCAGAAAAGTTTTTTAATATGTACGAGACTGGACTTTTGGCAATGTTTGCCAAGAAAGACATTTGTAACAAGCAAAAGAATTGCATTGCTAGAAGGCATTGTAACAGTGTGGGGTTACCATCAATTTACAAGATTTTACTATTGTTAGACAAATCTTCTGCACATAAAAGATGCAACCATTTTAACATGTGATAATGCCATGGCCCCCCATTTTTTTGCCCCATATATTACATCATTGATCCAACCAATGGACCAGAGCATAATACACAGTATTAAATTTCACTATAAATCAGAGTTTATGAAATAAATTTTTTCAAATGACCAGTCTGTTTCACTTTGGTGAATTTGTGATAGTAAAATAATGCATATATTTGTTAGCTGATTCATGGAATTCTGTTTCCCAAATAACATTAATAAATGCCTGGCATAATGTATGCCATCTACTCTGTTTATTCAAACTGAGAGTGATAACAGTGAATTTTCTGTTTTTAGGGTTAGTGCAGCAAGGGTTAAAGCAAGAGAATTGCTTTTGTATTTAAAAAAAAAAAAAAAAATGAGGAGGCTGTACAAGAAAAAGATATCACTGAATGAATGATGTGTTCAGATGAGCCAACATTGGCATATCAGAAGACCGATGATGAAATCATTGGCTCTGTTTTGAACTTGTCACAGCAAGAAAATAATTCTGACACCTACATGATAGTGAATTTGATAGGAGTAAGAAAATATCTTTTAATGATTGTTTGGAACATGGTGAAAAATACCTAAAATTTTTAGAACAACAGAGCTGTATTACGGAGCAAGATATTATGACTCTATATAATTAAAAAAAAAAAAAAAAAATTTACTTTGAAGCACCCTAAAATTTTAAAACAAACCTCTATCAGAAAAATATTTGAAACGTAAAAAAAATCAAACATTTTATGCTTTATTAATATCTTTTATATTTCTTTATTGTGTACATGGTTAATGCTTTTAAATATCCCTGTAATCACTAATATAAATGAATAGTATGATACAATAAATATATATATAAAATAACAATTTAATGCATATAATAAATTAATGTAATAATGTATATAAAAAATTATTTAAATGTATCTAATATGCCTTATTTATTTTGCACTTTTAGTCTGAATATTATGATTTATCTATAAAGTATTTCTCCTGCCTTCCTACCATGCCTTCGTGGTGTGGTGGTCTGCACGCTGTGCATGTATTCCAGAGTTCCGTGGTTTGATTCCTGACAAAGGCGTTGCTTGTTTTTTACTTCTCCTGCTTCTAAAAATACCTAATATCTCTTAGAGTGGCACCTGAACTAAAAGGGTGTTGGATGATGATTCTCCATACCCAGGATTTGGCGAGGGGAGTATATAAGGTATTTCTCCTGCCTAGCATGCCTTTGTGTGTTGTGGTAATCTGCACGCTGGGTGTGTATTCCAGAGGTCTTCAGTTCGATTCCCAGCGAAGACGTTGCTAATTTTTCAATCTCTCTGCTTCAAAAAAAAAAAAAAAAAAAAAAAAAAAAAAAAAAAAACACCTAATGTCTGTACAGTTTTTTTCTGAAATTCACGAAATCCTAAAAGCTGCACAACCTCGGTCCCAAGCATTGCGGATTTCTGGACTTCTGCTGTATTACTAAATGATTCATATTCATTCCTGAATAATACTTGGAAATTCAAGCAAAGTTTCTCAAATAAAATGCAGATAGCAGCAACTGAGAATGTCAGAATGTTGTCACAGGGTGTTGTACTTTTGTGAAAATGCACACATTTACATAGTTGAGAAGAAACAAAAATTGCTTCAAATATTTCATTGGAATCCATTTCAGCATCCTTCTTACAGCTTCCAGTGATATCCTTCTTTTCCTGAGAATGATACATTTTCACACTAACGAGGATCTGATAAAAGCTGTGAAGGGTTTTATTAACTTAAAAGCAGCAATTTTCTATGTTGAAGGGCTAAAAAAATTGTTTTCTATTTCAACAAATGTGTCAGTCTAGGAGGTGATTATATGGAAAATAGTCTTCAGTCATAGTACATTTTGTATTTAATTAAAAATAATAAATAAATTCATTAATTAAATTTAAAAAAATCTTTTCCAGATTTTTTTCTTTTATGGTATAATTTTTTTTTTTTTTTTTTTTCAAAATATGAGAAAATTATGGAGATTGTTTTAACCATTGTATTCTTAAATATAAATATCAGGCTTTTATATAAATTTATAGAATTTGACATACATTAAAATAAATTGACTTAGAAAAATAAATGTTTTGTCATATGCTATTTTTGAGATTACATTGTGAAATTTTCCATCTTATCACAGGCCATATATTATAGTTGAAAAAGGAAGACCCAAAGTTATTGAAAAACATATCGAAGAATTAGAGCAAAGAATAAGATTTTTTGGAGATTTCTTGAAAGATGGACTAGTTGAATATTTGGATGTGAATGAAGAAAATGATAGCAATATAGCTGTTTATGAAAGTGATATTGATAGGCAAGTATCTTTGAGTTAAATTGCATAGCATATAATTGAAAAAAAATTATTAATCATACTTATAATTTAATTGAAATAAGATTTTTAAGAAAGAATTTTTATATTTCTTGAATTAATACAGATTTTATGTTTGTTTCATTATTATGGGTGAATAATTCTACTGGCATGGAGCAAGTACTTCATGAGGCCTGAAAAAAATACTAGAATACCTCTCTTATGTGTCTAGTGATTCTGTAAAATATAAGAAGGTGTATTAGAATTAAAATGAATATATTAAAATTAGCACTTTTCCTTATTATTTTCAGTTTTTTTTTAATTTCTTGGCAATGCTCTGAAATTGATGATGACCTTCTGATGCACTTAAATGTAAATTGACCATCATAATGCTATATCCTCAGTGAACGTATGTGTCCATTGTTCAAGGCCTAATTTTTCTTAGTGTTTATGTGAGAAAAATAGGAAAATTTATTAATATCCATTTTGCATATTTTGGTGGGAAGATCTAATGTGTTGTTATCCTAAAAATTTTAATTTATAGACTGTATATACTCATAAATATTTTGTTATGCTATTAGTTATATTAAGCTACATTAATTTTTTAAGTTTAATTTTCAGTAAAGGATTCTATTGTAAAGACTTATTCATTTCATCTCCAGAGTAATACTTGTGATTATTAGTTATATTAAGCTACATTAATTTTGAGCTTTTAATTTTCAGTAAAAGATTCTATTGTAAAGACTTGTTTGTTTCATCTCCAGAGTAATATGTGCTTACTAGTGGCCAAATGGATAAGACTATGGAAAACTGGCAGTTTAATCAGGTTTCAAATCACAGTTGGCTACTTGAATATTTTGTGGTTTTTACCATGTGTAAATAATAGCTTTAATTAGAAACAGGGCTATGGAATCGGGATTAGGTAGTCGGGATTTGGGGTAAAAGGAGTTGGAGATGAAGTCTCTAAAAACAGGTCGACTCAGACTCCAGTTTTGTTGGACAGTTTGAATTTGAAATGAAATTAAAGTGAATTGAAAGCAAATTAATGACACACTGAGTTATTATTTTTATTTATGGACTATATACATTAACAAATACAGTCAAAAGTCTTTAATCCGGAATGATCTATAATCTGGACCTCAAAGCTACAAACTTTCTGCGCATGCGTAAACGCATCGCATGCACATATGTGCTTACGCATGCGCATTTAATGTATAACGGACGGTATAGGCTAAGCTAAAATTATCTAATTATCTATTTCAGTTAATGTTGCAGATTGTGTTGTTCCTTAATCTTCTTACTGGATCCGGCTTATTATTTTTTTGCAGACTGTTAGAGCAATTTTATAAAAGTAAGCTTGAACTTTCGATTATCTCAAAAAGAATTTCCGATTCTGTAGCTGCCAAAGGATCTACAAAGCCAAAGCATGTTTCGATGTCCATCAAACAAAAAGTGGAATTGCTGCAAAAAATGGATAAAGGCATATCCTTTGTTTCTCTAACCATTCCGAAATCTGTTTATCAACATCACGCTGCTCTGCGGGGATGGGGGGGGAGCATCGCTGCTCGCTATGAACTGGAAGTTGATCTGTCAGCACTATCCTTATCTTCAGGGCAGATGTTTTTATTTTATTCGGCTTTATAATTCCTTACTAAATGTAGTATTTCATCTCTATGTACCGTTTTTGATATGATTTAAATTCCGCGTCATTATAAATATCATGAATACACATCAAATAGTTTTCTGGTTGCAATTTTCTAATTTTGACTATGTAGGCTTTACGCTTGCGTGCGTTGAAAGAAATGTTTAATTAAAGTAAACAAATAAATATTAGCCCCCCCTTTGTTTTGTAAATTTTGATACCCTTTAGATCATAATTGCTCTTTATTTCATAAATTATGGTTTCATATTTTTTATTTAATAATTTCTGCATGCCATCCTACCAGATTTAAACTGATGATATTTAATCCGAAAAAACCGATAATCCGGAATCGCCAAAGTCCCAACGAGTCCGGATTGAAGACTTTTGACTGTAGTTATTTTCTATTTTACTGACATATTAATAAATAAATATAAGGGAGGAGGATGCATGTGATGTTTGCCATTTGTTATTAAACTGGTTCATTTAGTGACAAATATCATCAGTAAATTTAGGTAAGCAGCAATAGCAGCAAGAACTGCCAAAATTGATGCCATTCTTAAGAGAAGTTTCAGTTATTGATCAAGCAACGTAATGGGGAAGTACAATGATATAGAGATTGTTAGAATTAAGAACATTTTTTGAAGATGTAGATAACTGTAATGTTTCACTAATAGAAAGACTGTGAAATGATCAATCAAAATTGGAAACTCTTCTTTCTACACCGTACATAGCCTCAAAAAAGCTACAATCTGAAGAATTAAGAGGAGGTGAGAATAAAAGAATGTGATGTTTGTTCTTTTTTAAATGGAGGGTTTATTGCAGAAGGAATCATGTTTTCAGTGAAGAAAAGAGAAACTAGTTTGCTAGATAATGAGATCTTACTTGGTTCAATATATGTAGATCCAAAATACTAAATTTTGTCAGATGACAAGCAAATTAAAAAGGCAAAGAAAGCCATCTATGAACTTTCAATAAGAATGAAATTATTTTCAGAGCAGTTGGATTATTCAAATCAGGACAGTCAAACTGCAGACACTGCAACTGAGTCTCTATCATCCTCTTCCATTAATGAATTAGATTTTGAGAAATATTACTGGATAATGAAAAGGAGTACCTGCTTAGAAAGTCATATATGAATAAACTTTCCTCTTAAGCAGATAGCACTCATGTGAAACTAAGGAGATAGCTCTCTTAGTCAAGTAATCTATTCTAAGTTCCGGAACAATCTTTCAAGAAACTGAATTATTATCATAAGTGGTATGGAATTATATTAACTGATTTTAAAATTTGCAGATCATAATATGTTCAGATAATCTTTGAAGGCTCCCATTTTTATTTTTTTCTTGTATGTAATATTTTTTTTTAATAAAATGGAGTATGGTTAATTTTTTTTTTTTTTTTTTTTTTTTTGATACATGGAATGTTTTAGTGCAGTTAAAAAATGCCAGTTGCCTTTAAAACAAGAAACGGAGGTCTTTATAAATAACTGCCATGAGCGTCCCATCACCATTGGTAAAAATTTGTACACTGATTCGTAATTGTGTATTTACCCATAAGATGGAAAGGTTTGTATTAAGAGAAAGCTGTGGGATCTTTTCAGTTTGTACAAAATAAGTAAATTAGAAATCTCGATAGTAACTGTATATATTTCAAATAATGTTTTGAATGAAATGATTTGGATCAAACATTACTTTTAAACTTTAATTACATTATAATACTTTGATTTTTTTTCGGGTTTTGTAATGTTAGTGGATGTGTTTGAAATTTTAACATTTGAAAAGTTTTAAAAGCCTTCCTTAAACAGGTATAATTATGAAATTTATTTTCTTATTTTATATTCACAAAATTATATATTCCATATTATTATTGTAGGTCAATGTAGAATTTAATATATATATTTAATTTTTCTATATTTGTTTTTCATTTCATTTAACTAGTTTAAAGACTTTTATGGCCATAAGTTATAAATATAAAATTTGATAACTATACAACACTAAAGGCCAGTTGCCTTTCTTAAGGAATGGAAGCTTCTATGTGTAATTGTTATTAAGCATCCCACAGCCATCAGCAAGTTGTCACACTGATTTGCATTGCAGCATATGTGATATCTGGCAACTGTTTGGCGATCAACATAGCGTGCTTGGCGTAGGTAGCTCTTTGTCAAGAAGGGTTAATGTATTTTAAGAGAGTTGCATGTTAGCCTCGGAAGAGGAAGATAGTAGACTGTACTATGTGGTAAGAGCGATGTACTGCTCTGAGTTACTATTATGCTTTGAACCATATTTTTAATAAATGTTTGTTTCGTCTTGTTAAATGGTGCGTTATTGAACCACGAAGTCATCACAGCGAATTTGCTCATTTTTATGAAAGTTTATTTTGTTGTTATACTGAATTTTTTTACTTACCAGGTATTAAGTTTTAAATTCCATTTTACATTGCTTTACAATTAAGAAAATTATTTTATAAATAATCAATTCAAATTTCATGAATCTGTAAAAGAAAATTTTGGTCCTGAGACTTTCAAGATAAGAACTGCAAAATATTATGATTATGATATTCAAGTAAAGATTTTACAGAACTGTGAACTTTTCCAGCATTTCTTGAAAAAATTAGGTCATTCTTTACAGTGTTTTAGCGAAAAATGAAATAAAAACTTTTAAATTTCAATAGAACTTTCAATTTGCATTTATCATTAAAAATGATAGATATCTACAACATTAAAAAAAAATATATATATATATATATATATATATATATATTTTAATGTTGTAATTATATATATATATATATAATAGTAGTAAGACAACATGAATTAGAGAGACCTTAGTGGTCAAGAATTTTGCGCATTGAGCTTATTTGTCCGTTAAAATTTATTAATTTTTTCTCACCCCTTTTTGATTTTGAAGTCATCTCGACTTGTAATTTTAACATTTAGTTCTTACAAGATTGCTTTTACTATATTATTGTTTCTAGTTGTTGAATGATTTTACATTTTTGCTAAGGAACTATAGAGTCAAATGTATTTTTTAGCATAAGCTTTTAAGCGTTCCTCTTACTTCTAAAAAAAATATATATATTTATATCAAATTCTATATTTCCCTTGTTTTGCTATTGTTGTAATACTTTTTTCTAAAAAGGCATTTCAGTTGCGAAGCCTTTTTTTCTTTGAAGGTGGGATATGCAAGATAAAAAATATGCAAATCAAAATGATAATTTAAACTAACATTAAAACTTTAATTTTCCGTGCCTGTTCTAAAAATTGTAATAACTTCTTTGCATTGCATAATTTCTAGATAATTTAATTTTGCATGGCCTGTGCAGCGCTGATGATGTAATAATTGGGAACTGAAACTTTTAATCCAAACCAAAACCTTTCTCTTTGCGTGCTTTCATATCAGACAACTACACACTTCAGCTTCGCTCCCTACCCTGCTAGGATGTAATTTCTCTGTATTCGCTTTCACTAAAGTATAAAAAATGTAAGATTTCTGAGAATAGGCACGTTTAGAGTGCCAAGCGATTGTGGCCACAATTGTCAACTGGAAATAAAAATGGGATTAAAACTGCCTCAACTGCCAAGTTTCTTAGATATTATAAACTTAACATATTAGCATACTATGTAATCAGAATGCTTCCTCTGCACTATGGATCTGTGATCTATCCTATCTGGGTATTGTATGCATCAACACAGCTCTGTCTTTTCCTTGTTATTATAACATATATATGAGGGAGTCTGAGTCGAAGTCAGAGTTTTTAAAATTTCAGGAGTCGGTCATTTCCCCTACCGACTCTACAGCTATACTTAGAAAGCCCTATATGAAGAAGCATTCCTCTTAAGCAGATAGCTCTCATGTGAAAATAAGGAGATAGCTCTCTAGTCAAGTAATCTATTCTGACTTCTGGAACAATCTTAATTTTTTTTTTTTTTTGTTTTGTTTGCATAATTGGTTTTCAGTCCCAAGTTAACTGGGGTGGGCAGGTAAAAAAGCACAGAAAAGAATATCCCATATCATAGAAAAAAACTGTTAATGTATTTTAATGTATTTTCAAGCAATATTAAACAAAAACAAAAATGCTGTAAATAATGGAAGAATAAGCATCATTAGATGTTAAGAAACTAAATTTATAAATGGCTTTAAGTAATATTATTTACAAGCAAATTTGAACAATGTCATTGAATTGAAATTTGGGTCGTTTATTGTTTGGCAGAGTTAGAATCTTTTGATTATTGGTAGAGTTTTGGTGACACTGCTCTAACATGCAGTTTTCTTTCCCTTTTTGTTTTATGCTGATAGTTCGTGACAGTAATTTTTCCATTGTATTGCAATAAACAAACCTTAAAAAAAGGGAAGGACCCAATTAATCTGCTTGATTAACCAAAAACCATTGAATTCTCTTTATTGATATTGAGTAATATTGTGTAGAACATTATTGTTTTTGTTTTCACCATTAAATATTTTATAGATGTTTAAGATCTATTTAAATTTATTTAGTGATACTACGCACTTGGAAATTGAACCATTCACACTACTGGGAGTCTGTGCTGGTCTAGTGCCATATCCACATCATAATCAATCTCCTAGAAACACATATCAGTGTGCTATGGGAAAGCAAGCTATGGGTGAGTTATTATTTCCTTTTAAGATTTAGATAAAAGTGTATCTTAAAGATTAATCTTTTTATTTCTGAGTTTAAATCATTATGTATATATATATATTAAAATTGGATTATTTCTCATGTGGTACAGATCAGAGCTTCCACGCCTGTTTTTCCCTCCAGATCTTGGTATTTTTTCCTATCAAAATTTTTTATTTCTTGTAAATAAATAAAATTTAATGCTTTTAATAACAGCTGAAAATTATCTTAATTGTATATTCTAGCAATACTGATCATGATATGTAATATTTCAATGCTTGTCCAAAATATTATGAATGTAAAAAGATTTTTAAAGTTTTCATTCGTGTTACTCACATGTTATATGTACAGACTTCTAAGCGGGCAGAAGGCAGTCTTTACTGAACAGTCTTTCATGATCATTCAGGGAATTATTGCATTATTTGATGTGGTTATTTGGTGTGATTTTGATTTGGTGTTGAGCTGTAAAAGCTCTTTTCTTAGAGAAAACATTCCAGTGAGTAATCTTGTTGGATTTGCATGTGATAATTTTGATGGTTTTTATGGAGTGAGTCCAGTCATGGCTTTAGGGGGGAAATATATATATAAATACATCCACTCAGAAGGAAAAAAAAATAGGACAGTTGTATATCTCTCATTCTGTTCGGCCGAAGGACAAAATTCAATTTGTGTTTTTCATGCCTCGAAAGTGTACGACTTAGGACATATATAAGATTTACATATAGCATTCTTCTAACATAGGTATTTTGACACAAAATTGGTTTTTTTTTTCTAAAGGACTTACTAATTTTTTCCATATTTAGATTCTGTGCCTCAGATAAGTGCCAAGCTTTTTAAAAATTGCGTGAGTAGTTTTTAAAATACCGGTTCTCAAAATTTCAACTTCTCAATGTTAATTGAATTTGGTATATATTTATTAATATTCCTTTATTAAATGTACTTGATTTCTTCTTTCCCAGTTTGGAATTAAAATTTAATCCAAATAAATTTCTCACATTTTTCTTTCTGATTTTTATTGCATTTTTAGTAATTTTTATAAATTTTTCAAAAAACATTTTTAACCTATAAACCTATATACCTTTTTAAACCTATACAGTCAAAAGTCTTTAATCCGGACTCGTTGGGACTTCGGCGATTCCGGATTATCGGTTTCCCCGATTATAGATCATCAATTTAAATCTGGTAAGATGGCATGCAGAAATTATAAAATTAAAAATATGAAACCATAATTTATGAAATAAAGAGCAATTATGATATAAAGGGTATCAAAATTTAAAAAAATAAAAGCCTAATATTTATTTGTTTACTTTATTAAACATTTCTTTCAATGCGCGCAAGTGTAAAGCATACATAGTCGAAATTAGAAAATTGCAACCAGAAAACTATTTGATGTGTATTCGTGATATTTATAATGACGAGGAATTTAATTTAAAGCATATCAAAGACGGAGTACATCGAGATGAAATACTACATTTAGTAGGGAATTATAAGCCGAATAAAATAAAAACATCTGCCCTGAAGATGAGGATAGTGCTGACAAATCAACTTCCATTCATCGCCCCCCTCCCCGCAGAGCAGTGTGAAATTGATAAACAGATTTTGGAATGGTTAGAGAAACAAAGGATATGCCTTTATCCATTTTTTTGCAGCAATTCCACTTTTTGTTTGATGGACATTGAAACATGCTTTCGCTTTGTAGATCCTTTGGCAGCTCCAGAATCGGAGATTCTTTTTGACATAATCGAAAGTTCAAGCTTACTTTTATAAAATTGCTCTAACAGTCTGCAAAAAATAATAAGCCGGATCCAATTAGAAGATTAAGGAACAACGCAATCTGCAACACACCTGGAAAACCTGGAAAAGTCAGAGAATTTCATTTTCCTGCTTGAGTGGCAACCCTGAATGAAGGACTTGGATGAAAGAATAACACGGATACATTATCTTTCAATTAAAACTTTAAATCGAACCATTATCTACAATCAGGACAATTTTTGTGTCAGCAGGTAAACCAACTGAATTCAAATTTTTCTTAGTCTCGGGTATGAAATGATTTTCAAACCAATCATACATTGACACGTGTGTCATCCAAGCTCTTTTATGTGCATGATATATGACGGAAAAATCTTTACTCCTTTAAATGTTCGAAGTCGCATATTTTTTGTGACAACGAAAAGTTTACATTTATGCGTTCCTGCAGCATTTGCACTTGCTAAAATTGTTAGTCTAGATTTGAAATCTTTGACACCCATTGGAATCTTTTCTGAAGAGGTTGGCAGGGTATTTCGCGGTGCATATTGCCAGAAAAGACCAATTTCATCGATGTTGTAAATTTTTCCTGGAGATAATGTTTCACTATTAATGAGTTCAATGAATTCATTTGCAACTAGTTCAGCTGCTTCATTACCAGCTAAAGCAGTTTTAACTGAAATTTTTAATTGCATTATACCACAATGATTTTAAAATTTGTTTAACCAGTCTATTGAATATGTGCATTTGATCCTTAGGTTCATTTCTTCATGAAATATTTATGCTTGAGCCATTAGCATTTGATCCGTAAATGGCACGCCCTTGTTGCGTCTCGGTCTAACCATTCAGTCATCACGGTCATGATCGTTATTTTTAGCATAGCAAATAATTTTTCTGCTATTGGTTGAGAGTGGTGTGTCGGAATCCAAAAAAATTCATAAAGCTCCTTTTTCTGTTATTTCATATACAGTTGACTTTCCAATGACATACTCCTTGAATAATTTTAAGACGAATATACCATTATCCTTTTTTTTTTCCTTCTGTAATTTCACTTTTTGTGTAATGGACATCGAAACATGCTTTCACTCTGCAGCGCAATAAGAGTGGCTGGAGGTGGGAAAGGTGAAGATACAGCATGGCCGAGAGCATCCCAAAGATTTTCAATGGGATTAAGGTCAGGCGAATATGCTGGCCACGCCATACGCACAATCCCTTCACTCTCCAGGTAGTCATCGATGATGTCAGCTCTATGGAAACGTGCATTATCGTCCATTAAAACAAAAGTAGGGCCAACTGCTGCAGCGTACAATCTCACAATGGCTTCTAGGACTTCATCTCAATACCGGACAGCTGTCAAAGAACTCCGTTTAAAGATGTCGGTGCTGTACCCTGATGAAGTCCCTGCCCACACCATAATGCTTTCGCCTTGGAATGCGTGATGTTCAATGATGTTTTGGGACTGATTGCATGTTCGTTGTTTACACTATATCCTTATATGCTTGTCATCTGGCTCCAGAGCAAGTCTTGACTCATCAGTAAACATGACATTCTCCCAGTCAGACACATTCCAATTGACATATACCCGGCACCACTGTAATCGTGCCCTTCTTGATTGGACGGATAGAGGAACACAAACTCGAGGTACCCTGGCATACAATCCACTCATATGTAATGTTCTGCGTACAGTAGCTGCAGATATCGCCTTACCAATGGACGTTGTAACTATAGATGTCACACGTGTGGAGGATTCCGCTTGGCTACAATAGCAATATATTGATCTTCCACGGGGGTTGTAACCATTGGGCGACTGGCTACGGCCTTCAGACAACCGTTTGTGTGGTTTGGAATTGTTTCCATATACGTGAAATTACAGAATGATGAACGCCGAAGAAAAGAGCAACATCTGTGATCGACTGTCCCGCTTCAATGCGCCCCACAGCACACCAACGCTCGGAATCTTCCATTCGTCTTCTGGAAGTCATAGAAACATGTGTGTCTTGAAAACAAATTGTACGAAAGTTTTAAACACCTTTTATCAGCACTTACAATCAACTTCTGTCCCGTTCATAAAGCTAGCTTCTTAAAAGACTGCCTTTTTTGCATATTTCTTGACATGAAAGTGCGATTGGCTGTTACCTAACATATTTGCATACTTCCATCTACCTCTTCAGCGAATTGCATCCTCTTCAATTCTGATTGGCTTCTGGAAATTAGCATTTTCCTCTTTGTGCTTAACTTTGGGAAGTGAGTGTATATGAAAAGTAATACTTTGTTAGAGGACTTACTGTGAGAAAGTGGCTCATATCTATGTTACACATAGGAAAATCACAAAAGCACCTTTGCTTGAAACCCAATCACCTGGAATCAAACTAAAAATTACCAGTATTTAATGATATTACTTTTAAGTGACTGGCATTCAGTGCCAAGGTAATAAAAATTATTATTAAATGCTGGGACGCATTAGTTGTTTATTTTAAGTTTCAATCAAAAATGGCCAAAATGGATGTTGGGGGAACATTTGTAATACTTTGATCATTTAAGGAACTAAGCCTAGTATGCTGCTGTTTTTAGGATATGTACTGGAGAAAATAAGGCGTCTGAATATTGAATTTCAATTTGAGGGTTTCATATTGCACTTACTTCATTCAGTGGTTTCAGTTAGTATGAAAATATTCATAGTTTTACATAAAAGATGAATTCATTCCTTTAAATTGGTTTAAATTGAATCAAGCAATGCAATAACTCATAAACCTCTGAATAAAATATATTTGGGAAGCCAATGTGTGGCCGTATTAAATTTATTACCAACTGGAGACAGTGAAAGTGGGTTGAAAATTTTTTGTTGAACTTAGTATGCGAAATGGAAAAAGAGTTCCTCTAAATCATGATGAAATTGTCTCCTGTCTCAATATTCTTGAGCCACTAGTGGTACACAATAATGTCAAATCACTATAATCAATTTAGAATATAAAAATTCAGGCCCCTCACCTTGTTTCTGAAGGCAAATTAGATCTGGAATAAGAATGGAAATCATTTCATTTAATTCAAGATCTAGATCTCCACTACCAAAGCATCCCTGAATTTTATCTGTTACATAATGCAAAGAAAGGATGGCATTTAACTATTTTATCTAACTTTTTAAAACTTTGTTTTAAAATTTTTTTTATCAAACTTTTCTTTTTAAATTTTTCCAGTTTTATCTAATGACCAGTCTAACTTTTACCTCACTCTTTGGCTAGCATAGAAAGAATCTTCTCCCAAGTAACCATATAAAAGGAAAAACCACAGTCTCACTTAAACCACAAACTGTGAAAAACCAACTAATGGCAAGACAAGTGATGAATAGATTTAATCAAAATTGCTATGTAAGAAAACCTAAATTAGAATTGATAGAAGTGGTCATAAATCGAACTTGTCATTAAAGATATGAAGAACATTTGGGAAAAAAAATTAGATAACTTAATATATATGTTATGGCCAAAGCCCGAAGTTCGGCCAGTTCCCAAATGGGCCGGCCATTTTGCACATTGGCTGGGTCGTGTGGTCAATGTCCAATGTACTAGAAATTAATAGCGTATATGCGACTTTGGCCGGGATGCCTGGAACTCCCTGGCCAATGTTTGATGTGCTATATTTTCAGTGTATCTGGCATCCATGTATCAAATCACGAATGTGGAAACACGTTATTGTTTATAGGCCCGCCAACTGAATAGTTTCGATTGCTGGTTAGTGTGCTTTTCTCTAGATAGGTAAGCCCTATTCAATATTCTTTTGTTTTTTGTTATACTATGGATCAAACTCAGTTTCAAGAATTCGTACATGCTTTCCAAGCACAGCAACTACAATTTTTCAAATAATTTCTCTTAACTCAAACTTCTAATGGCACTGAGTGGTGCTCAGTGCCATTAGAAGGTGCCTCAGTGCCAAAGTACTGTTAAACCGTCCATAAATCCAATTTTACTTCAATCATTTGAAAATTTCGATTCTAAAAAAAGAGTTATTTAAGTATAAAAGATTTGAAAATTTTCTTGATATAAAAGCAAACAAAGAATCTTGTGCTCAGATGCTTCGTAATGCTTTAAGGACTCAAATGTGATCATATTTAAAAAATTACCAAAATTTTAAATTTCTAATTGATTATCTTTTTGTTTGTTTGTTTTCTCCAAGGGAGAGGAAATTTTCTTAAGAGACCAGGAGGTTTCTGGTACTGTGAGATCCTTACTAAAACTTCTCCCTTCAGACTACAGCCCACCTAGGGCCACCATACCTCCTTGGCCTTTGTTCCGAGGGACGATCCTAGGTGCCTAAGAGAAGCGGATTCGTCGGAAAACTCCTCCGTGGCAGCTATAATGTGATTATCATTAGCATTGCGGTATACAAACACCCAAAATATCCTTATGACCTTTTTCTTCTGACTTTGGCTGATCGCTTCATGCCATTTCGCGAACTGGCTGGCCAAACCCCGAAATCAAGAAAAGATTGGTCATTGTGAGGCGATATTGCCTGTTAAGCAATTTGGCCGGCCAATTCAGAAACTGGCCGACTTTGGGCTTTGGGCATAACATATATATATAAAGGTAACTGAATGGGATAAAAATCTGATTACAATTAAGTAATAGATAATTATATGTGTTAAATTTTAGCTTATTTGTGTTGCTATATTATAGGATGGAAGCTAGGTTTTTTTCTGGGTTTATTAAAATTAGAATCCCTTGAAAGTTTGCGAGTGAAAGCTCTGATATGAATTATTTCTTTTAGGGTTATTTTTCAACTACACTTTATTCCAATTAATTTTGTTGTACACAACTATTCCAATTAATTTTTGTTTCAGATTTTATTCTTGATAACTATAAGATTTGCTGCATATATTAAATATTATAGTTTTCATTAATTCATTCTGTAATTAAAATTACTTTTATTTAATTGAATTTAGTAGGCTATACCATTATATATACCACTATATAATACCAGTTTTATTTTGTTGAGTTTTGCAGTGTGAAATAAAAAGAAAATCTGACTCATTATTTTTTTTAATAATAAAATAAGAATTGGCTTTTATGATTATGTCATCAAGTGAATTGACTGTATTGTGCATATATGAAAAAGAAAGCCATAATTAAAATGTGAAGAAACGTGTTATCAAAAATTTATGGAAACTGTTATATATAATATTTAGGCAGTTCCCTATTATTACATAATAAAGAATCTGTATGTTCTTTCCATTGTAGAAATTAGGCGGTAACCACCAAATTCTGGACACAAATAGTTCTCCAACCGAACATGTGCATTTTTAAGCCAGAATTTTGAATTTTTTAAATTTCATATTTTGTGCAAATTTATAGAATTTTTGATTAATGAACTTAATGATTTAAAAGCGAGCAGTGGCACCACTGCTCAAAATAAAACAATTTTAGATATTAATGTATGTGATAGTTTAGTTTTTTAGTTTATTATTTTTTCAAGAATGGTGCCATTAAAATGCTAATTTTAAATATTAAATACAAATAATTAAGAATACATTAATGAAAAGAATTCCAATTAATTTAATCACCCATTAAATTTTAATTTAAATAGTTTCATAATTCATTAATAATAGTTTTACAAAATGAAACTTGAGTAGCTTTCATTTTCGAACATGTGATAAAATGATACAAAAAAGAAATGATTAAAATAACATTTTAGTTGTGCATCAAATAAATAAAAAACTGACTATGACATGTTGCATACATCATTAGCAATTTTTATCTCCATCACAGTGTGTTGACATTCAACAAAATGTAAGATTCTTTCAAATATAATCAGCAGACTTGACTATATAAAAGAAACATATTGCCAATGCCTCAAGTAAAATACTTTTATTTTCCAAATACCAGCATGCTCAGCAAAGCATAAGACATTGAACGTTTAAATTCAATCTATCTGTTTTAGATTAATGAACTGAGGGATTTAAAAGCAATAAGGCACTTTTTAAGAGTATTTTTTCTCTTTTATAATATTATTTATTTAAATAAAAAGACATTTAAATCATGAGATGTCTAATTAGAAAGACTAAATGTGTTTGTATAACTATGCTAGCTGGATTCATTAAAATCATTGTATATATTTTATTTTTCATAATAGCTGATCTGGGCAGATGATCATGCAAGCAAGTAGTAGTTTAAAATAATTGCATGCTTAAATAAGATTTGTAGTTTAAGTAAGTGTACTGTTGCTTAAAAGAAATAGTTATAAGCACCACTTAAAATATTGTTACTTATATTTAAGTTATTATATCAAGTCTTTTTTTAATATTTTGTAATTCAAGTATGTATTTATTTCTTAGGAACTATTGGATATAATCAAAAGAATCGAATGGATACTTTGATGTATAATCTTGTGTATCCTCAGAGACCAATTGTTAGAACAAAGGTATATTTTTGTAGCAGCTAATCAGTAATATGTAATAAAATTCTATAATATTGCCTCATTCATATTTAAATGATTTTTTGCTGAGCTGGGTATACTTTCTTAGCCATTTAACAAAGTATACATTCCTAATAAGTTCTGAATTGTGTCATTCAAAAGCTAAGTAATTTTTAAGGTGATTGTTTCCTTCATGTATGAAGGAATGTAACAGTTTAGTCTTGATCTTGTTCTCTATGTAAAGCAAAAAATTTTTAATGCAATATTAAAAAATGAAAATCACACAGGCTAAGTAACACACATACTTAATAAATCAACAAAATTCTAAAATTAGAATTTTAAGATCTCTTAGATGGAATTACTGAAAATGCATTTTCAGGATTTTTTTTCAACAACATTTTGCAATTTCATAGCTTCCTGACATATTCCTGATTTTATTCCTAATTTTTCATTGCATCAATTTTCTAAAATTTAAATATATTGTAGTGAATGTCTTAAATTGTGGGCCTGAATATAAAATGTCTTCATATGTAAGATGATTTTGTATATTTTAAACTGCGATATGGGGGGGGGTGGATTTTTTACTTTTCGGGCAACTCAGCATTCAAGCTACATTGATGTTACAGTTTTTGGATTCAGATCTTCTCCACGATATTTTGTGTATGTCTGAAAGTGAATGCCTATCTGATCACATGATGATATAATTTGAATTTTGTATCTCTGTGATCTTTCTGTGTGATGCTGTCTGTCTGAAAGTCAATCCCTTTCTGATCACATGATGATAGAATTCAAATTTTGTCTGTCTGTGGTCTTGCGAGGCACTTTAAATATTCCATTTACAATCTTCAATACAAAGAAAGCAAAATTCGCATCCTTTTCTTGCTTCCTATCCTAAAAACATTTCTTCCTTAAACATCTTTTGTTGTTTCTTCTGAGTTATTGCAGTTCTTTCTTGTTGAGCAGTTTTTTTTCGGGGGGGGGGGAGCCTCTGATAACTCCTTCATATTTTTATCATTAAGTTATGAACCCATAGTTTCACCTAGAGCCATAATGCCGTAGATAGCCAAAAAGTCCTAAGTTCCTAAGTATCGGAACCCACAAAATCTCCACCTGCAACCCAATTTGGGTATGATTTTGTCCAGGCTGAATTCGTGGCCCTGTAAGTTGCTTGCAGCTGGGCTTTATTAATGAAAATCAAGCAAGAAAAACATTAAAATGTTTATGTTACCTCAGAACACCTTTGAAAATCATCTGCTATCAACCTGAGAGTTCATTACCAAAGGCAGTTTTTGTCTGTGGATGAGATTCCTCTGTAAGTGTTGCTTTTCGAATAGAAACTTGGAGACATTTGAAAGCATGAACAATTATCAGATTCATGATCTGATTCTGAAAACTGATGATAAAAGAAATTTTTATCATTCATCTTTATCTATTGTATTTGTGTCAGCTCATGTTAGAAAACTAAGTTTATATCTACAGTACTAAAATAACTGAAAAGAGAATGTAGAACACTGTGAACTCAGCCATGTTACTATACTTGTGAATTATTCTAGAGTGAAAATTGCTTTGCACTAACCACCAGAAAATGACTTACTTGGCCACAATTCCATAAACATAAAGGTTTGTGCCCAAGCTCATAACCAAATCCGATGGCTATCATTAAATCACATATTGCATTATTAATCATTAAATCATTGGTAATTATTATTAATTATTGAATCATTCACAATAGCTTATGGTTATTATCAGCATCACTTTCCATGAGGATAATAGCTTATGGCTACGCATGGCAACAGATATGTAATGTACTGATGTTTGGGTACAACAGAAAAGACAAATCATATATGATATTTGTAATTTTTCATCAGGAGATCTGTGGGTCATTTGCATATCAGTTGAAAACAAATTGTTAATTAGTTCAGCAGCGCAACAAAGCTATATGTCATTGGAATGCCTCTATTGATGACAGTGCAATGAGGCCATTTAATTCATTCATGTTATTCTTTTATGTCTACAAGACTCTTTTTGTTTTTGTTATTTGATGAGGACAACTGGTAGTTCTACCACATCCTAATGCGAGTCCTTAGTATGAAACTCGAATTAGAATGTTAATTAGGTTCGATTCATTTAATCAATTAGGAACTCAATTAACATCTTCAATTGGTAGTTCTACCACATCCTAATGTGAGTCCTTAGTATGAAACTTGAATTAGAATGTTAATTAGGTTCGATTCAGTTAATCAATTAGGAACTCAATTAACATCTTCAATTTTGGTACAGAAATTTAAAATGGTCTGAAACAGAGGTGGCCAAACCAAATGACCTTGCTAGTCACTTCAGAAAACATTATAATTCTGTGAGATGCATATATATATCTTTATATTAGATTTGGACCCATTACAAGCATTTATTGGAGTGAAAATTTAAAACAGAATGAATTATTTTTAGTGTTTTCATTATTTTTCATGTATGCAAGCATAGATAATATAATAATAATAATGCAATGATCAAATAATGCTTAACTTTTTAATTGAGATTTTTTTTTCTCAACTCTTAGTTTTTTCAAGTCAATCTCAAAGCGTGTGTTTGCACATAATTGAAGTTACAGGTTTTTGTCCATTAATTTTGAGCACGATTTATGTTTGATAAATTTCATTTTCAGAAACAAAGATTCGCTTGTTAAGTTGATCTAAAAGTGCTCGCAACTTTTTATGCCAAATCTCTGAAATCGGAACATTTTTCTTTTGTGACATAAGTGCTATAAAAATCTATTTTTGATTCTGATGTGTTAGAAATGTGTTTTAACCTCTTCCTTCTCACTCCCGTCAGAATGATGGGGTGAGGTTTTGCCCTATATTTGTTGTGCCTGTGATATTTTCGGGCTGGAGAGTTCAAAAGCAATGTGCTAAAAAGTTTAAAACCTATTCATTTCTTTTGCCCAGAAAAAGTTTTATTTCTTATTTTGCACATCAGATGGCAGTACCATAATAATATTTTTTATGCAATTAGAGGTAGTTTATTTTAAACTAGATGTCAGCACTAATCAAATATGTATTTTGTAATCTTATCATTAGCCCAGTTACTTAGGTAGTCTCATTGTGAATACACACGGTTTCTGTTCTGTGATAAAATATACTTATTTTTTTTATATTCTGTACATTATGGAGTCAGACAGTGAATTGGGTTCTGATTTTAGTATAAATGGATCTGAAAGTGATTCTCAAGTAACTGATTTTTATGAAAGTTCGGTTAGTAAATCTGAGAGCAGTGGTGATGGATCTGTGCTATTGCCTGGACGAACATGGACTAAAATTATGTCTTCTGTAGCAGATCATGCACCTATATGTTTTAAATTTTGAGAAATCCAAAGGTAAATATGAATTTTGATTCAAGTTGTGGTGTCTTACAGTATTTTATAAATGACAATTTAATGGATCTCAACATTTCGGAAAGAAATAGATATGCCAAACAATGCCAAAATTCTCCAGGATTCTGCCTATCCAAAAATAGAAAACCTTGGATACCTGTCACAAAGGAAGAAATTCTTAAAATTTCTCAGTATTAGTTATTTTACAAGGTGTTGTGAGAAAACCAGATACGAAATGTATTGCAGCAAAAAACATTCAATTTCAATGCCTTTTTTCATAATTCCTTGTAATAGATTTTGCTAAATACACAAGTTTCTGCATTTTGTAGATAATGAAACCTTTGATTGTTACCCACATCTAAATCCCAAGCTGTATAAAATCTGGCGAGTGTTAGAGCACCTGAATGAATTGCTTCAAAGGGCTGTAACTCCTGGATGGGATATTGTAATTGATGAAACCCTTATGCTCTTCAAAGGTCACATAGGATGGGGACAATATGCCCAAAAAAGAGATCCCATTTTGGAGTAAGATGGTATTTATTATCTGAAGTTCAGGGTATATGTGGTCACAAATTTTATATACTGGTTTTTTGATACAAAATGTAAAGATCTGCCCCAATCAATTCAAGTTTTGATGTCACTTATCAAGCCTCTGCTACAACAAGACAATTTTATATCTCACCAGAACTGGCAGACATGCTTTTAAATTTCAAACAGACACTTATGGAACTGCAAAACTAAAAAAGAAATGCCTCGATAATTGGTAAAAAAATAGAATTGCAAAAGGTGAAAATGTGTCTTTTTGTTGAGGTAAAGTTCTTGCCATGAAGTGGAAAGATAAGAAAGATGTTACCATACAAATGACATGGTAGATGTAGAATATCATAACAAAGTTGTCAAAAAACCTACATTTGTCACAGGTTACAATAAAAATATAGAAGCAGTAGGTATTATAGACCAATATTTTGGAGATTACTCTATTGCTCGAAAAAGAGGAAAGAAATATTATAAGAAAAGATTTTTTCATTTGTTAGATCAAACTGTTTTGAACTCGTGTCTTATTTACAAAAAACAAGGTGGAAAAAAATTCTATTTGATGTTTCGTTTATCTTTAGTAGATGAATTATTGAAATGTATCAATCATCAGACACCAGCTGGCCAAGCTTGGAGAATAATCCAAACCGTTTGATTGAAAGGCATGTTATTAGACAGATACCCTCAACTGGTAAGAAAGAGCTATCATCAAGAGAATGTAAAGTTTGTTGTTCCAGAAGAAATGAAAATAATAAGAGATATACGAAGGAAACTCGGTACTACTGGTCCAGATTGTGACGTTGGACTTTCTCATGCTTTGAAATTTATCACACAAGAAAAAATTACTAATATTTGTTTATATTATGCGTAAGTTTAATAAAATTCTCTTCTAATGTTTAAAACACATATTTCTTAAAAGTTTCCTGGCTTACTGGAAAACCAACATTCAGTCACAATAACCCTCAATGTTGGCTTTTCCTAAGAAATTTTTTTTTTTTAAATTTCGAGCTAAAAAAAATCCAAAAATTAAAAATGAATGCATTTATTATATATGTACTTATTTGTATACAATTTTCTTCAATAAAAAAGATAATCACTTTTATGACCATTTTCTTGAAAATTATCTGATCATTAAGGGGTTAATTCATTATTGCATTGTAAGTCAATCAGTTAAATTTGGAGTTATTATGTGGCTGACTCGATATTGCTATGAAAGGGAGATGAATGTATTTCAAATAATTTTATGTATTTGTCTAAATTAGTTAAACGACTCTCAAAAGTAGCTGCAAGTTTGCTTATTTCTTTTGCATGTTTGATGTAATTGATATATTTTGAATTTTTAAAAAAGTGTTGAACAGTATTATTTTTCAATTGAGATTCAAATAACAATCATCTCTTCTGAAATGCTTTGATGTGATTAAATGCATTGATTATTAAAGTATCTTTTCCTTGTAATGATGTATTTAATTGATTGAATTTTTCGATGATATCTACTGAAGAGCATAAATCCAATAACTATTCATTATTCCTTAATTCCGGTACTGGTCTATGCCTGTCATTCATAAACAAGTCAATTTCTTGACGTAATCCATAAAATCTCTGTAAACATCTTTCACGATTCAACCATCTGACATGACTGAAGTATACAATGTCACCATATTCACAGTCTAATTCTTTTACTAATTCTTTTACTTAAATTGTAGATGAAGAAGTACATGGGATTGAATGTAGTGTACTGTTTTTATGACTACTTGCATAACATGATTCATCGATAATCCTTGGGCATATAGATTTTGTTGATGAAGCAAACAGTGGATTAAAATTAAATTATCTCTTTTGCAGCAGTTATTCATTTTGTTGTTGGATTCTATTGTATCGGTCAGTCATTTTATGGCTCCTTTTTCTTTACCAATGCCCCATCATTTGATATTCTAGAAAGAATTTCCAAACACAAACACAAGTTGTTCTTGCATAAACATTTTTCAGCAGCATGGAAAATATCTTTCCCTGTTGTTGTATTTTTCAATCTTATCAAATTTACCATTTCTTCAATTACCTGAAATGATTCATTTACTCCACGAACAAATAATACAAGTTGAGCTGTGTCTGAAATGTCTGTACTTTTGTCAAATGCCCAAGGAAAAATATTTGAAATCTGGAATTCAATCGCGCAGTTTTACGATAATTTCATTTGAAATGTCATTAATTCAATGACTCACTGTTTGCTGAGATAGGCTTAAGCTTGAAAATAGTTTACTTTTATCAAGCAAAATATCCTTTACAACAGCTTCTAAACATTCTTTCACAAATTCACCATCCAAGAATGTTTTCTTTTCTTTCTTTTTTTTTCCCCAGTCAAAAATGAGGAAGAATAGCTTGCCTTAATCTTGGGTGGTTGCTGTAATGTTGAACCATTTTTTGTTGAGCCTTTAATTGTGATTTAAATTACCTGAGCTTTGAATGTTTCAATTCTTCATCGAATTTAAAAAAATAATCATTATGTTTTCCTTCTTAATGATTTTTACTTTGTATTCCTGAAACATGGCGATGGTCTCTCGGCAAATTAAACACATTAATTTTGTGTTTTGAATGACAAAAAAGTACTTTTCCTCCCATTCCTCACTATATCTTCTATTTTTGTCTACTGTTCTTCTTTTCTTTGCACTCATACTAAAAATAAGAAGGAAAAAATATGCTTAATAAATAAAATAAATTTAAAAAAAAAGAATTCACAAAAATTCGTCCAATAATTTTTTACAAAAAATGCTGGCTATCAGAAAAATTTCACAGTTTTATTATACAAGTAGGTTAGAACCAAAAGTAAGAATGAAATGAAAAAGCTTCCAAATATCCAACGCAATACGTGTCCATTTCGAGCCCTTGATTTTATACTTTTAAGTAAAAGAATGTTCCACAAAAATTCGTCCAATAATTTTTTTAAAAATGCCAGCCATCAGAAAAATTTTACCATTTTATTATACAAGTAGGTTAGAACCAAAAGTAAGAATGAAGTGAAAAAGCTTCCGAATATCCAACGTAATACATGCCCCATTTCAAGCCCCTGATTTTATACTTTTAAATAAAAGAATAATTGGCAAATAATTTTTTACAAAAATGCCGGCCATCAGAAAAATTTCACCGTTTTATTATACAAGTAGGTTAGAACCAAAAGTGAAAAAGAAATGCATATTTTTTAATTTTTAAATCAACTTCATTTTTATTTTAATGGAATTTGGCTATTTTTGTTGAAATAATATAAAAATAATTATCCTGTAGTCACAACATGCAAAACGAAACAAAAAAACTAATTTTCAATTGATACTAGAAAAGCATTCCCTTGTCGACAGTCGACAGCGAGCAAAGACGCGAGTGGCCAGCGCACTGCTCTTATGCGGCTATCTAAGTATGCCTAGCCCTAGCAATAAGCAGCATGACAAAGTTGCAGGAATCAAGTGTGATGCTGGGTGAAGGGATTTCTGCAATGCAATACTGCCCATTTCTAAGTATGTGTAAAAACAAAAGCAACATGATAAAATAGAAACAGTCATTGGATTAATTTGTTACAAAACACTATACTGAAAACGAAAATATTGCACAAAATAATCATGTTTTATGAAGTTGTAATGAATCTGGTGGGCCGAAAAATTATTCAAGGTGGACCGCAGGTTGGACATTCCCGCTCTAAATTATTAGTATGTAAACAGCAGATGTAGTCTGGATAATAATACATATTTTCATCATGAGGAAAATATTGTTTCTTTTAAATGTGTTTATATGCATCTATTATTATAAATTTACTTTTCGCGTGGGTTTTTTTTTTTTTTTTTTTTTTTTTTTTTAAATATGTGAGTAAAACTGATTTATTCCCTTTAGACACTTGATCTTATAAACTTTGAAAATGTGCCTGCTGGACAAAATGCTACAGTTGCTGTGATGAGCTATAGTGGTTATGATATAGAAGATGCTATTGTATTAAATAAAGCATCCTTGGATAGAGGTAATAGAATTTTAATAATTAACATTATTATTTATTTATTTATTTACCTCAATATGCACGGTGGACATTTTGAACATCTGCCTTTATATGTACTGATGATGTGTCAAAGAAAGTTTTGTTTCGTTGCACCAACTGTGAGGTATTTTTCTCATAAAGTATGTATTATACAGGTACAGTTCTTTGGGCATTTTTAATGTATTCTCAATGAGGAATCTGCCTGTGCAGAGTTCAGTTGCTATTTTTGGGACACCTTGTGTATGAAAAAGTGTGCTTGTCATTTCAGGTGGGGGGGGGACAGGTTTGATGTCAAAAGTACATTGACTTTTCACTTACCACACACTTTGTTAACTCTAAAGAAGGAGAATTTTTCCTTTGTAGTTAGCAACTGTTAATGATGTGCTGTATACATCCTTTTCAGACATTCACAATGCAATTATTTTTGTTCCACAAATTAATTATTAATTAATAATTTAAATTTATTTTTCTGGATGTAAACTATGGCAATGAATATATTTGCTGTAATAAATAATATCTGAAAGAAGCTTATACCTGGCTTTCAGTGGATATGAATAATATATTATAAGTTATATCATATAATGTATGATATATAATATGTAATAATATCATATATTATTAGTTAACTACAGTCAAAAGTTGTTAATTCAGACACCCATAATCCGGACCTCAAAGATACAAACTTTCTGCGCATGCGTCGCATTGACGCATGCGCATAAGACCTTTACGGCTGCGAATATGCGTGTGAGCATGCTCAAAATATATTTACGCATGCGCGTTTAATGTATAACGGACGGATAAGCTGAGCTAAAATGATCTAATTCAGTTAATGTTGCAGATTACGTTGTTCCTTAATCTTCGAATTGGATCAGGCTTATTATTTTTTGCAGACTGTTAGAGCAATTTCATAAAAGTAAGTTTGAACTTTTGATTATATGAAATAGAATTTCCGATATATATTTACTAATATGTAAAGGATCTACAAAGCAAAAGTATGTTTCGAAGTCCATCAAACAAAAAGTGGAATTGCTGCAAAAAATGGATAAAGGCATATCCTTTGTTTATCTTACCATTTCAAAATCTGTTTATCAATTTTACGCTGCTCTGTGGCGGGGGGACGCCGTGGCGCGCAATGAATTGGAAGTTGATCTGTCAGCACTATCCTTATCTTCAGGGCAGAAGTTTTTATCTTATTTGCCTTATAATTCCTTACTAAATGTATTTCATCTCGATGTACTTGTCTTTGATATGATTTAAATCAAATTCCTCGTCATTATAATTCGCTTCCGATAGCGAAGAATGTAAAGTAAACAAATAAATATTAAGCTTTTGTTTTGTGTGTAAATTTTGATACCCTTTAGATCATAATTGTTCTTTATTTCATAAATTATGGTTTCATATTTTTAATTTTATAATTTCTGCATGCCATCTTACCAGATTTAAACTGATGATCTATAATCCGGAAAAATCGATAATCCGGAATCGCTGAAGTCCCGACGAGTCCGGATTAACGACTTTTGACTGTATTCTTTTTTCATTTGTTATAAGAAAGAAATGCCACAAAACGTTTAAGGACAATATATTCTCTCTCTTCGCCCTCCCCCCAAAAAAAGGCGTTTAAATGTAAAAATGTTAATTTTGAATTGTGGGTTGGAAATGTTAAGGCAACAAGAAACAGTGTAAGTTAGGTTAAAATCTAAATTATACCGAATAACGATTATTTCAGAAGTCAAACAACAAAAACACCAACAACACACAACCCTCTTCCATTTCTCGACATTTTGGTCACACATAACACATCCAACTTCAGTACAGTCAAAAGTCGTTAATCTGGACTCGTCGGGACTTCAGCGATTCTGGATTATCGATTTTTCCGGATTATAGATCATCAGTTTAAATCTGGTACGATGGTATGCAGAAATTGCAACATTAAAAATATGAAACCGTAATTTATGAAATAAAGAACAATTATGATCTAAAGGGTATCAAAATTTACAAAAAGAAAAAAGCTTAATATTTATTTGTTTACTTTATTAAAGATTTCTTTCAATGTAAGTTGTTTAAGTTGCTTCGTTTCATGTGATAATACTTTCTCTTTAATTCTATTAAACCGACATAATTTCTTGTTTAGTTACAAAGTTCCGCTGTTCGAATCCTATAATTGCTGTGCTGGAATACCGACTAATTTGTCAATCGAAATTTTTTCGTTTTCAATAACCTCTGTGTCACTTTCTTCACTATCGGAAGCATATTATAATGACGAGGAACTTGATTTAAATCATATCAAAGACGCAGTACATCGAGATGAAATACTACATTTAGTATGGAATTATAAGCCAAATAAAATAAAAACATCTGCTCTGAAGATAAGGATAGTGCTGACAGATCAACTTCCAATTCATTGCATGCCACTTATGGTCCCCTCCCCCCCGATTTTCTAGAGATGTTTCACATTCAAAAAAATTCTTTCTGTTCTGGTTAATGACCCTAATTCCAATCCATCTTTACCTTCAGCCATTAAGGAAATTATGTTTGTTTCCTTGTTTCATCAATAGATGGTGCTAGTAACTTTATTCCCGTCCACCCATTCTTATTTTATCTTATCTTGTTCATTTGCACTTTGGCAACTGAGGAAGTTGGTAGTCAAAACTATCGAAACTAGTCCTGGAAAATTCACAAATATAACACTGATTTTTGTTGTTTGACTTCTAAAATAAACAGTGTAATATTTGTAATTTTGCAGGATTAGTTTCAAAAGTTTGAACATAGAATGTTCTTAACCTCTAAACCTAGTCCTACAATTTAAAAAATATTACACTGATTTTTGTTGCCTTAACACTTCCAATAATTGTTATTCAATGTGTTATTTTAACTCAGGTTTTGGATTGGATTTCAAGATATATTAGTTTATAGTTAAATAAAATGTAGCGATCATGTGGTTTGTGAAACCTCAGTAGTTTCTTGTTCGTGTCGCCATCTGTAAATAACAGTGAGAAGCGCTGCATCACATCAGTGGGACCCAAATCTGAGTTGGTTTATTACAAGTCAAATTTACTACTAGCACAAAAGAGCTACATTGTGTTATGTTCAAGAATTCCAACTCTTTTCAAATTTGCGAGTGTTGAGTTGTTCTGGAGATCGCTATACACTTCCCACCCAAGCATCCGTGATACGATATGAGGAGATGGTTAAGAAAACCCGTTTTGTTGGCACATGTATCACCATTAGGTTATGTGGTGGAGCGTGACGTAATTCATCATTCATCCTCAGTGGGGAGGGGGTCCGTAGTTCTCCGCGTCGCCAATGTATCGATCATGTGGTTCGTGAAGCCTCGATGGTTGCTTGCTCGTATTGCCATCTATTAACACCTGTGAAAAAGTGCTGCATCGCATGAGCAGGATCTGAACCTGAGTTGGTTTATTACGAATCAAATTCTTTACCGCTAACCCAGAAGAGCTACATTGCACTAGCTTCAAGAATTCAAACTCTTTTAAAATTTGTGAGCATTGATTTGTTCTGGAGATCACTACAAAAGTATTAAATATAAACTATATGAATTTACAAAGCTAATATGCTCTAAAAGATTATTAAATATTTTTATAGCATTTTGTAATAAAGACATTACTTTTTAATAAATAAAAGTATGAAATAATCCAATATAGATATTTACTCTCAGTAGTAAAGAGTGTCATAATGTAATGTTAGTGCTTTTTATAATAAAAGAAGTTGTTACAATAGTTGTTTTATAATAATAGAAGTACATGTTCAGGGAGCACTCTTGATTCTGAGCTCCTATTAATCTATGGATTATGCAGTGTCTGTTTTTACATTTGTTCCATTTTTATAGTTTTATTTCAAAGCAGTTGTTTTCTGTCTATTAATATATTATTTTATAAAAGGATTTATCTTTTGCAATAGGCTTTGGAAGGTGCCTAGTGTATCGTACAAGTAAGAGCACAGTGAAGCGTTATTCTAATAACACTAGTGACCTTGTATTAGGTCCAAAAGTCGATGCTGAAACAAGAATACCAATTTGGAAACATCGTGCCTTAGATTTAGATGGAATAGCTTCTCCTGGTGAGTATGAATATATATATTATTGTAATTATGGAAGAATATTTTTTTTGAGTAAAGAAGCATTCTGGAATTCACCAAGATTTAAATACAAACATAATTAGGTTCCTGAAATTTCTAGCTGAAAATGAAGAATTATAATGAGAACCTATGTACATGTATTTTCATTTCGAAAATTTTTGGTAATTAATCCAAAGCATTTGGAAAATATTTCCTTATGAAACTTAAATATTGAAAATTGTTTGTTGTTTAAGAAAGGAAATCTGCTATAGAAGTGATGTATTGGATATCCATTTGATAAAAGTTAATTAACTGTTTATCATGAAAATTGTCTTGTGTGATGTCTTTTATTATAATTGATACAGCTGTTATATGCTAAATTATGTTGATAAATTATGTAAATGTAATGTGTAATGCTAAATTATGTAAATTATTTTAATTATGTAAATTAATTAAATTATGTAAATAATTTTAATTATGTTAATTATGTAAATTATTAAAATTTAAATATTGCTCAATTACTTAAAGGTTATATGATTTCATTCAAATTGAGAAAAGCAAGAATTACCAGAAATATATATAAAAGCTATAACTTTTGTTTTAAGAGCCAAAACCAAATACACTACAAAGTCCGTAATGCGGGCTCGTCAGGACTTCAGCGATTCCGCATTAAGGGTTTTTCCAGATTATAGATCATCAATTTAAATCTGGTAAGATGGCATGCAGAAATTATACAATTAAAAATATGAAACCGTAATTTATGAAATAAAGAGCAATTATGATCTAAAGGGTATCAAAATTTACTAAATAAAGCTTAATATTTATTTGTTTACTTTATTAAACATTTCTTTCAATGTAAGTTGTTTTCTTTCAATGTAAGTTGCTTCGTTTTTTGTGCTAAACGTGCATGCATAAACATTTAACACACATGCGTAACATTAAACGCGCAAGCAAGCTGCTTTACCATGTTTTGATTGTTAATAATTATTTATGAATTCTTTCCTTGATCTGATAATTAATTCACTTATAAAAAATGTAAAAATGAATACATTAAATCATGTTTACATAGGGTGCTCTTCTACACTGAAAAGAAAGTTACTATAAATATTTTTAAGTCATAATTTTATCAGCTTAACATGCAGAACGGTAAATACAGTACAAAGTCCATAATCTGAACTCATCGGGACTTTGGCAGTTCCGGATTAAAGATCATCAGTTTAAATCTGGTAAGATGGCATGCAGAAATTATACAATTAAAAATATGAAACCGTAATTTATGAAATAAAGAGCAATTATGATCTAAAGGGTATCAAAATTTACAAAAAAAAGCTTAATATTTATTTGTTTACTTTATTAAACATTTCTTTCAATGTAAGTTGTTTAAGTTGCTTCGTTTTTTTGTGCTAAACGCACATGCGTAAACATTAAACGTGCGTAAATCATACAAAAAAAAAAGAGTTTGGGGCTTTGAGGTCTGGATTATAGATGATCATTCCAGATAATGTACATCCGGATTACAGACTTTGTACTTTATTTATAATATTTTTAAAATAATAAAACAATTTCTGAATGGGAGGGGATGCAGGAAATAATTTAAGAAGAATATTGCATTTTTTAATTACTTTAGTTACTTATAAGGATAAATAACCAATTATTATTGTTCTTAGTTTGTATTCAGGAAAATATGTTCTTGTGACTTATAAAATTTCGAACTTTTGTATGATATTCTGAACATACATATCGTACTTAGAAAACCAAACTTATTCTCAAACTCCAAAAATGTCTGACAGAGAGGTTTGAAATATAGGCAGTTTCGTCTAACATCGCCCTCTTTTTTGAAAGTTTAGTTTGTTTATTTGTTTATGGCAAAGCACTGGAGGGCTGTCTGCCTGAGAGGAGGGATTCCTTCATGGTGAACTTTCTATGGGAAACTGGCTCATTACACGTTGAAGACATGGTACACATGAGGAATGCATGTTACACATGAGGAGAAATTATGGAAATGCCTATGTAGCCTGCTGTTCACCTGGAATCAAACTCAGGTTGAAATATCAGTGTTCAGTCTCTTTTCTGCTCAACCGCTGGTGGGGTCTTTTTTGGGGAAGGATTGGAGGAAGGAAGACAAAAAAGAGAAGGGTGAACAGATTGAACAGTTTTTGCATATAGATGCTTTAACATCCACAGAATTTGTTCCTAGTGTAATCTTTAAATGTATTAATACTCCCTAGTTGTTTTACCTCAAAAGTCAACTATTAAATAAAACCCATTAAAAAATTAAAAGTTGTTTTCCATTTGGGAACTACCTGCTGAAATATCACACATTACTAGTCAAAATAAGTTTGGGAAATTGACCACTTGGCATGTGTATTACAACGAATAAAAAAACATGGTGTTTAGTATAATGTAAAAAGCTTTATCTGAATGAAAAATAAAACAATAATTTGAAATATAGTATTAATGATTTTTCTGTATTCTTAACCTATTTGCATTCCTTAAAAACATGAAAATATATGGGATAGGATAAAATGCACTGCAAAGAAATTGCAATTACAGTTGGCAAAATTATTTTAGTGTAATTTGTCAACTTTTCTAAAAAATAAATGTGTTTTCCTATACTCTCATTAGAAGCAACATACTGAGACAAAACTATAAATCAATAAATTCTTAGATCATCTCACAAGTTCCTTTCCTTCCAATGTAAGCTACAATTATATGTAGGTTTATTTATAATTCAGTGAAATATTTTAAGAAATCATGTTTTTGTATACTAAAGTAGAAGTTTTTTGAGGGAAGGTCAATATTTTGCAAATGCTTTGTGTGTGTACATTTAATAGTAAGTGAGACATTTACAAGATAGTCTGTTTCATACCACGCTTGTGCGAGTATATATCATGATTGACCAGAGCTATAGCATCAGTGACATGATCATGGTAAACAGGCAGTGAAGACACAAAGACTGCATGCTTGACAAATTCCCGTAAGGAATCACATGTGATTAAATCTGAAGAGAAGCATGTTTACCGCATTAATGCACAGTCTCCTTATTCTTTGTATCCTATTCATCTTACCGACAAATTTTGATTTAGATTCTATCACAAATTTGATCTGTTGTAATGAACATCTCGCCTGCATCCGTAGTCTTGTTGAATAGACAATAAAAATTATCCCATTTTCCTTCACTTCCATTTTATCTCTGCAATGGTCATGACCACGTCACTGATATATCTTTGGTCAGTCAGTTAATTCTCTCAGTGACATGTAATGTCTTCTAAGTGGATTCAATGATCTCTTATGAAGTATATAAAATAACAAGTTTAACCTCTTCTTCAATGAAAAAAATCTGTGGAGAAGATCAAAAATTTTTGTTTCAGTGCAGTGCAAAAAATGAAGAACCCAAAAGTTCATTTTTGTCATATTTTGCTTGTTTATTTTAAAAAAGGAAAAACTGACAGTTAGACTGATCATAAAATTTGTGCCATTTACTGAGAAAATGCTGACTAAGATGTTTTGTGTCACCTCACATATTCACCAGATTTTCATCTCTTTAAGTTACTTCAAAATTCTCCAAGTCTGGAGTTTTTTTGAGATTGTTGAATAGCATCTTGATAATTTATTTATGAATAAACCTAATAACTTTTTTAAGGAATTTTCCAGCTGCTGTGGAGATGGCAAAAAGTTTTAGAACAAAATAGTATTTAAATGATTCAGTGAAATTTTCTGATGTTTTTGTACTGCTTCATTTTGTATTTATCATGAAAAACTTGAACTTTCCAGGTGATCGAATAATAATTTACTTCTGAAGTCACTCTCAGAGTTTATCTCTAGGATGCAGTATTTGCATTAATTTTATAAAATGAGTATTTTCTACCTGTCAAATAAATTAGTAGAATAAAAAAAGTTTGCCTACTCTATATATTTTAGATTTTTAAGAAGATGCTGTTTTTACAACACATTTACTTCATGTACTATGTGTTTTGAATTTGTGTACTCATCATATTGATTTGCATTTGAGATTAGACTAATATGGAAATGACACACTTTCTTGCATTGTATTAACATGGCTTGTTTAAAATATTTTAAACAATTTTAAGTAGCTTCTATTTTGTATTCATTAATAAAAATATCTTTAAAAGCTCTGATTTAAACTTATTCCCCATCATTTAAAAAATCAGTTTAATTCATGATTTCACATGAAAACATTTAAGTTAATTCACGATAAGCATATGAGTAAATTCATTAATACCCAGAGTAGCAGCTCAGACTTTTGTATTCACGTGTACTTTACATTATTTATTTAATTTGTTTATTATGAGCTGAAATTTTTGGGCTTGGAAAGATCAACATTAATTTAATATTTTAACACTAAATTTCTTTACATATCTATTCATAAATTTCATTTTTTTAGAACATATTGTGTAAGCATAGCACACTTCCATACATATAAGTAATAATGTGATTCTGAGCAATAAAATTTTCAAGCATTTATTTCTAATAGTTATGTTTATTGAAAATTATTTTTTTTTTTTTTTAAATCAGGTATACAAGTTCAGAATCGACAAGTATTGGTCAATAAATCAATGCCTGCAGTTTCAGGTTCAATACCATCAGATTCTCCTGCAACAGAACTACGAGAGCAGCAACATAAAGAAGTTCCTGTTGTGTAAGATTTTTCTTTAGTTATATGAATAATTAATTTTTAACACATGCATTTATTTGAATGCCAGTGGCCGAATAGTGAGTGCTAAGTCAGTTCCTTGAAAATCCTTTCAGCCTCCTTAAGCTGGACAGCCTCTGAATGCTTTGCCATAATAAATTAATCTACTTTCCTTACCTTAGTGTACAAAAACATATTTACAAATTGTATTGTAAAACAGCAGTATTCGTGCTTTGTTAATGCTTCATTGTTAGAAAAATGACTATTGATATATCTAAAAGAACTGAAGCATAATAGTGTAAAATTATGTAATCAGTTATGTAGTCAGAGGTATGAATGTGACTTTTCATAGCTTTGTTGATTGTTAATTTAATTCTCATGTAATTGAATAAAGATTTAATTTAGATATTTTATTAAGTCAAATTTTCAGTAAAGTAGACTGGAAAGATGAAACACAATTCAGATTTCCTTAATTGTTAATGACTGTATCAGAAAAGTCAGCCTTTTTCATGGTATTAGCAATTATTAATTTAATATTTTCATACTGTATCTTTAGCTGGGCAATATCTTCAATGTGTTACAATAATTTTTTTCATTACGATATATTTTACTTTTTCTGGGATGGCAATTTGCATTTTATAAATTTATGTTAAACTTATGGTAAGTTAAAACTTTGAAAGTATCAGCTTTTAATATATTGTGATGAATATTGTACTTAAATAGGTAATTTTAGTAGAAGTATAAGTAAAATTCTATTTCTTTTGTAACATGAAAAATCTAAAGAGAAACTATGCCACAAAAGTTAGAGCAACATTTACAGGAGCAAGTGCAGTTAACGTTGAGTAAATGGGTATCTCGATAATTTGGTGAGATATCGCTAAACTGACAGTAGTTTTGGCAACTTGGCGAGAAATCGCCAAATTTGGCTGCTGTTATTAAAGAAGTTGACACCTTAAAGAAATTCATAGTGACAGCAGGAAGCAGTTCCAATGGCTTTAAATTTTTACTTATGCCTTCTCTTCCCTCTCTCATGCTATCCACATATGATGGTAAGACCTCCTGGCAAGTGTATAAGACACGGTTTTCTATAATGGTGGAAGCGAATGGATGGGATTCCCAGACCAAGGCCTGTCATCTCGTCTGCATCTGTAAGAGCAGACACAGCGGATATCCTTCAGGCTCTTCCCAAAACCCAAAGGCTAGATTTTGAAGCTCTGTTGGAGCTGCACTTTGGGGAGAAATGTTTAAAAGACTACAGCAGGCTTCAATTAAAATCCTATCAACAGAAGCCCACGGAAACACTCCAGGAACTGCATGTTAAAAGGCTGTTTCACCTCACCTTTTTGGAGTGCTCAAGAGAAACAAGGGAAATCCTGTCCCTGCAGTACTTCATCGATGGTATCTGTGAAATCATGAAAGCTCTATGAATGGTGGATATCAAGGATTTAAAAAGCGCTGTAATGTATGCCATGAAATCCAAGGTACCCAAAAGGGAACTCTTACAGACTGCTACCCAATCAGAGCTGCTCAATTCCAAGAACCAGTAAATCAAGTGGCTGCTCATCTATATGATTTAAACCAAACAGGTCAATGACTTGATAAGAAGCTGAAATGAGAAAAAACAGACTCTAAAGTGTTGGAAATATGATGCTGAAGGCCGTGTACAAAAGAACTGCAGAACAACCCAGAACACGGAAAATAAGACATATGATTTAAGCAGACAAGCCAATGCCTTGAGATGGAATGGAAGTTACAAGAAACCATCCTAAAGTGCTGTAACTGCGGTGCTGAAGGCCACATACAGCGTAACTGCAGAACACCCCAAGGCATGAAAAATGAGACCTTTCCCCAGCAACAGTGCGGGAAGCAAATTAATGGCCATATCACAGAGCGAAGTTTGAAGGGTAATGAGAAACCCCATTTTAAAACATTTAAGATTTCTGCAAGGACTTGTGGCAATAATGTCTTCATCAAGGACATATCAATGGAATTCCTTGCAGTATGGTCATTGATAGAGGAGTGAATGTTACTGTCATTCGAAGGTATTTAGTTCAACAGCTTAAAAGTAAACTCATTTTGATGCCATCCTGTGTGCTACCCTTCAGAGTGTGTCTGGTGATAAAATCGAAATTGATGGGAAGTTAAATGTAAACATCATGTTTTGAAGTGCTGCCTACCATCACACTGCATATGTGACAGCTATTACAGACCCTTGCATACTTGGATTGGACTTTCTAAGGAAATGCAATTTTTCTGCGGACTTTAAAAACAACAAACTGCATTCAACCTCTAAGGACATAACTATCCATCATTGGAAGAGATCATCTCCTGGAAATGCTGATGCCCTGTCTAAAAGACCCTGCCCTAAAAGCTGCTGATATTATTCCAGGATTGAAGCAAAATACGAGCTGCTTAATCTGGTTCTATGTCAAGTTACGAATTCAACACATCCTCTGACCCAGAATCATGGAGTGACAAAGAAGTCAGAAAAGACCAGTTGGAAGAAAGCAACATTTAACCCATAGCTGACTTAATCAAGCCTTCAAACAAAAAACTACTTGGCAGGATATTTTGTTCTATAGTCCTACAAGAAAGCGATACTGGGCACTCTGGGACTCACTCCGTACTCGAATTGGATGATGGAAAGGCTTTCCGATGGCAGCGGATACTTCCAAGATCCTGGATCCCGGACATCCTTAGAGCACTACGTAGCAGTCCTACATTAGGTCATTTCGGAATAATGAAGTCTTTTGCAGAGAGTTTGAGAGTGAGTAATGCAAAGGATGCCGTGCAAAAGTGGTGCCATTCTTGTGATGCCTATGCGTGTCGGAAAGGACAGAAGAAATGCGGCTGAGGCAAAATGCAATATTACAGTATAGGAGTGCCTTTTGAAAGTATTGCCTTTGACATCCTGGGTTTTTTGTCAAAGGTAATTCCACCCACATATTGCTTTCCAGTAATTTCAAAGAAGCAGAAAGTACTATAAATATATCGGTCATTTGAAAGCTATTTAAGGCTGAAGAGAAAGCATCTGCTGTCAGTTGCTTAGTTATTGTTGTTGTGAGTGTATAGTTCCACGTGAACTGAGATATCCGAGTTAGCTTTTTCTTTAGATACTCTTTGCATTTCGCTGAGTTAACAATCTTAGTTTGAAGTTCAACTACTGACTATAATACTGCCATAGCTGCTGATGGCAACAAATACATCTTCATTTTCATTGAATTCTTCACTAAGTGTCCTGAATCATATCCTATTCCTGATAAAGAGGCTGTCACAGTAGCAGAGATAATGATTCAACAATGGATTTCCAGGTTTGGAGTGCCCCTTCAGTTACATTCTGATCAATGAACAATTTTTGCATCGGCTGTAATTAAAAAACTGCAAGCATTGACAAAACACAGATGACACCTTTACATCTCCAGTCAGACAGCATAGTGGAAAGGTTTCATTGAACCGTCCATAATAACTTCTCATTGGTGGTTTCCAAAAACCAACAGGACTGGGACAAGAAGTTACCTTCGTTTTTACTGGTTTATCGTACTGCTGTGTACAAGACTACCGGCTATTCCCCATCTCAGATGCTCTTCTGTCGTGACCTTCATCTGCCTTGTGATCTCTTGTTTGGTCACCCTCTGGATGGGCCTTCATCATCATCTGAGGAGTATATCCAAGATCTCCAGGCATGGTTTAAAATGATGCACGACTTTGTATTAGAGTGAGTCAACTTGGCAGTGGAAAAGATGAAGACCCAGTATGACATGAGAGCTACAGGACATCAATTCAACGAAGGAGACATGGTGTGGTTGTGGAATCCGATTTGACGAAAAGGACTCTCCTAAATTACAGTCACCTTCTAAGCCTAAAGTTGTTCATTACGACAGGTCTAGTGTATATACATAGTTGAGTAAATATTGAAAGACCATCGTCATATTTTTTATTCTAAATTTGTAAGTTTATGCACTCATTTATTAATTTAGTACTTGATTTGTTTTATGTTATTTATTGCAATTGTTGTTAGTTTCCTTAGTTGTAATTATTGCTTCCTATCCAGGGATTGTACTCCCCTCGATGTGCAGTCCTTGGGAAGGGGGCAGTGTTATGAATTTTATACATAGATAGTTATAATTTTATTAGAATTATAAGTAAAATTGTTGTATTTCTTTTGTAACATGAATGCAAAGAGAAGCTGTGTCAGAAAAATAACAGCACAGGGGCAAGTGGGTTTAACATTGAATAAATGGGTATCTTGGTAATTTGAGGAGAAATCACCAAAAGTCACCAAATTTGGCGACATTTTTGTCCGTTCCCTGTATCACCGTAATATTTAGTGAAACTGAATAAATATTATTGATCATTATATTAGCTGTAACTGTAATTCCACCCACATATTGCTTTCCAGTAATTTCAAGAAGCAGAAAGTACTATAAATATATCGGCGGTCATTTGAAAGCTATTTAAGGCTGAAGAGAAAGCATCTGCTGTCAGTTGCTTAGTTATTGTTGTTGTGAGTGTATAGTTCCACGTGAACTGAGATATCCGAGTTAGCTTTTTCTTTAGATACTCTTTGCATTTCGCTGAGTTAACAATCTTAGTTTGAAGTTCAACTACTGACTATAATCTGTGAACACTTATACAAGAGTTTCTGTGGAAAATTCGTAAATTTTGAAGTGTTTCTTTTGATTAAGTAAATTTTATTAACATATCATCGGACCTGTGTGTATGCCATCTGTTACGAATCTGTGTGTATGCCATCTGTTACGAACCTGTGTGCATGCAGCAATATTTTATTGCTCTGCTTGTGATTTTCAAACTGTTAATTTTTGCTTAATTTGTTTTTTAGTAATCTCTGTCAGATATAAATGGCTGAGTGTGATATAAATATCCAGGTACTGATGAGTTTTGTCCTGGAATGATATATTTTTTAGTTCTTGTTCTGGACTATTGTATTATGTAGAGGACTTTAGCATTTTCCAGAACAATGCTGCTTTTCCATATTTTCTGAAAAT